GAAGAACATATGAGAACATAGGTTATTTTTCAGATGTTTTTGCAAATAGCATTTGCAATACGTATCTTGATATATGTTGTTCCACACGTTTCAGGACTTATTATTTCTACGAGTTTGGTATACAACAACAGCATGCGGCACTTGTAGCTGCTGTTAACGGTGGAAAGGTTTGTCAACACATAGTTTCAAAACATTCAAAACCCTACCTTTGAACTTGAACACTATTATCTCATAGAACCGTTCGTCCAAAGGTTTCTATATCTTCATCAAGTTTACACTTCTCCCCATTTTTCGTTATAGACATATATCGCCGGAGCTACTGCCCCGGAGTCTAAGTGGAATGATGATGGCGTGAAGCTTCGCTCTGCTGCTATATCGATGACTGTTTTGTAGTATTTTTTGGATGTCGGATTTGAAACGCGCGTTGCAGATTTGCAGCTCAAAATTTTTGAAATGTAGACGAATTCTGGAGTCATCTGGAGACGGTGTGAAAGCAGGATAGCTTGTATTAAGGTTACAGTCGAGGCTCCTCGCATCATTGTTGAGACATTACAAGGCCATTCCTTGTCGAAATTATGTTGACAGTTTGAGTGGTGTACAATTCTTTCGGCTTCAAATCGTTAGCGGATCATTACTGGTGCTTAACTGCGTATTAATCCGAGTTTTGTTAAACGAACGTCATTAAAACTATCAGTACCCCCAGTTTTTATGAGATTTCACAATCAAATGACTGAAAACATATCGGATTCGGCTGTATTTTTGGATGCTTTGGAAAGAAAACGAGTTGGAGATGTAGAGAGTAAACAATTTTTTGTGAAAATTTTGAATTTGGAGGATATCAAAGGACCTTTACATGTATATTTCTCAAACTCTGAACGGTCCTAGAGCTATGTAGGTCCCAATATGCATCATGTTGAAATGTCTCACATCGACCATATCAATGAGAAAAATAAGAGTTTAAATATCATAACCTCACTTCAACTAATACTGAGATATTTTGTGATAAAACTTCACACCTGACGGATTGTGCAGGTGGTAATTACCAAGTTGGGGACCATATTAGTGTTGTTGGAAGTGGGTCGTATGGCCTGTCTCTCTAATGATTCTACATGGTATCAGAGCCACGGAGCGGGCCTATACTGTACTGCCATGTGATAGGTGGGTCCCCTTGGCCCCTCGAGACGATGGTGGGTCCTTTGGCCTCGCGTGTAGGGTGAGTCCTCTTGGCTCCGCGTGATTGTAGATGTGTGAATCTTCCACGTGTGACCCACTAATTGGGTCCCACGTGAGGGGACGTGTTGAAATGTCTCATATCGACCGTATCAATGAGAAAAATAAGAGTTTAATATCCTAACATCACTCCAACTAATACCGAGGCATTTTGTGATCAAACCTCACACTTGACGGATTGTGCAGGTGATAATTACCAAGTTGAGGACAATATCGATGTTGTTGGAAGTGGGCCGTATAGCCCGTCTCTCTGATAATTCTACACATCTGACATTAAATGCGTTGACATCAGCAGCTTGCAAATCCGGCAGCGCCCATTGAATATAATATCGTCTCAACATTTCCACAAATTATTGATATAAGAAAACAAAACAAATATCTAATTGGATTTTAACTTAATTAATATGATTTGGCTTGAGATGATAAGATGATTGAACTGGCATATTTGATATTCCTTGGTTGATATATAGTCATTAGTCTCGTGATGGTCAATCAGCGGCAGGAGATCAGTAATTACGCATGCAAGTTGAAAGTTAAGTCTTAATCAACTATCATTTAACATGTCACGTAGTGATGACTAGCAAACATCAAATTAATAGTTACGGCTTTGATAACTGTATCGTTTTTTTATTTTTTAGTTTTTATTTTAATTTTATTTTTTTATTTTTTGTTAAAGATGGAGGGAGTAAACCTGAGATAAATTGGAAATGAGAGGGGTAGGTGAAGAATGATGGGAAAATTATAGGGAACTTTAACGAAAAGCACCCGGTACTGTTCACTTTAACGAAAAACCACATTTTTACACTAAAAAGTCAATCCTGTTACTATTCACTTTACCCTTTATTTTGTCCTTATCATTAAAACTCAAAGTTTTCAAGCTCTTTTCATTAGTTTTCCTAAAATTATATGCCTAAGAAAATAAAATCGATAAACGAAAACTAAAAATTGTTTTAAGTTGTTTTTTAAAGATATTTTGTTTACTTATTCTTCTATATTGTCTTTTCGTCTCTCCTACCATCTCCAAAGTACAAAAAATAAAAACTAAAAAAACTAAAATCGAATGACTATTGTTTCCTCAATTATTCACACTATATTTCCGTCTAACGCACTCAGGCCTTGTCTAGGTGCTAGACGGGTAGCTTCAGCTTCGATTAATCCCTAAGCATTTGAAAACTAAGAAATGACGTCTAAATTTGCTTAGGCAACCCGCCTAGGTCGTGAGTCTTACTTTAACAGAAAATAGATAATTTTCATTTTGCATTTTACCTTTTTAATAAATTGTAGGAGATTTGTTGATTTTTTTTTTTGTCAAAAAGACTTGTTGAATACTTAGATGAACACATATTATACGTTTGTTTCTCATGTTTTCATTGTGTTCTAATACTTTATAATCTATATGTCATTTTATTTTCCAGTTTATGTATCCCAATTAAGTTATGTAATTTTTAAGTATAAGCATACATTTATTTTTATAAGAAATAATAAAATTACTTAAGTCCGCATAGCCACTTAGGCACTAGACTTCAGGCCGCCACCCAATTAGCGTCTAACATCTTTTAGAACCTTGATTATTCATTTGCAAATTTTTTTATTGTTTTAATGTGTATAATAAGGAGATACAATCATACATGCAGGCAGCCGAGACTAACAATCTAAAAAGCAAAACAGATTAGTTAGGTGAAGAAGCTCAATATTTTGGAATTGGATCCTCTCTGAGGCAATGCCTCATGATCCTACTGACCGGACAACATGAGCTGTTGGATTTTGATCAAACGGTTACAAATAAGAGATCCCTCTAAAAGTTATAATAATTGTAGCCGTTGGATCAAAATCCAACAGCCTATGTTGTCCGATCAGTAGGATCCCGAGGCATTGCCTCAGAGAGATCCAATTCATTCCCAATATTTTCTAGCTAAGTACAATCAACTGATGTGATGGCAAGTGATATGAGACTTTGTCGATTTAACTAAACATTTTCTAATAGTGGTCTTCTAGCTCGATCGATGTAATAACTAAATTTATATTTGAGAATTTGACCCCATATGCTTGCTTGCAAGTTCGCAACAAATAAACAATTGGCCTACAAAAGACTGCTATTATAAGATACTGATCGTTTTTTGATAGTTTATAACTTTGATATAGTATTAGGTGGAGAAATATTATACTACGTGATCTCTTCGATAGTAGTTGGGTACGAGAATTCTACTTTAATAAAAACAATATTTAAAAACAACGTAAAATATCATGTGCATTTGCATAAGTTACAAAAGTTGGAACTGTAGATTACCCGTGATGTTCCCAAATGAGAAAACTTTTAGTTCGCTGAAAATACAGTCAGAAACGTTAAATATAATAATATAATTAGTTAATTTATTTTTTAATTTTTAACTAATTATTTATTACACGTATACACTCGGCCGTATACGCAAACAAAATTCTCCCAAATAGAGCCAAAGAAGACCTTGATTGTTCTGGTGACTATCTTGGATAATTAAAACTTTGACTATCTTGGATAATTAAAACTTGATTTTTAAAGGTGTTAATTTATTGATTAATTACTTGGAGTCGGAGTTTGAGTGGAGTTGGAGTTTGAGATCCGTCACCTGATCATGCACGATGCATCATCATCGTTGATCACTCTCTCTCCAGAGGGGTATTCGAAGAGAAATTTTTAGTTGTAACAGAAATACGGATGATACACTACGTGTTTTTATATAAGTAGTGAAAATTTTAATTTTTAAGTTATTAATCTTTTAACACACATATCTCATTATTTATATAAGAACACATGATTTACCACATTATGTGACAGTCACTTTGAAAAATACCTCGTATTCGAGGAGGGAAGTAAGATTAAGATCTGATCAAAGTGGGATCCCTCAGGTCGTCACCTGCAAATCAACATATATGTTTTGATTGGAAACTTTTGCCACGTTTGCCTGTGTGGAAGCTGGAATGACACTGGATCATCACACATATGATACGGCACGTCCGTCTCGTATGCGTGGAAATGTAAGAACAAAGTCTCATACACATATCATACGGTTGTGAAAAGTGTGTGGCCGGACAATGCTATCACTACCATTGTTATGTTCGAAGCCCTACTGTAAGATTCACTACATCTTGTGTTAGCGTTACTTGTATATGTGCAATCAGTAGTAATTTTCGCACGTATTTTTTTATTCTGCACACGATTTTTGATTCAATCGAATCTAAAAGTTAGAAAAAGAAAAACAACATCCGTTTAAAATATGAAACAAAACTAACTAGAATAAAATTAAACGTGTGTAAATTATTTCTTAATTTACTAAAATTAAATGTGCGAAAACTACGGAATTGGATCCCATTTGAATTCACTTTGTGAGGATTTTAGGGATCCCCACATTTTATGTATCGTATAGTTAGAAATCATTTGACATTTTTATTTAAAATTAAGGGAATTGTTATTGGCATTTCAAAAATCTTATTCTACACTCCAAACTTTCTACATTTGGCAAGAAAAATATATGGTAAAATGAAATTTTTAGAATGCTAATAATAATTTTCAAAATTAAACATAAATAATATCTGATAAAAACTAACCGTACGAACAACTAGGATATAAGAATCCCTGTATCCCACAAAGTGGATATCCTCCTTCAAAAACTACGTCGTAAAAGTGGCACTTTTGGCAAGGACGAACAGTTGAGATAGATGACCATCAACTACCATTCTTCCCTCCATTTTTATGGTCCAAACCAAACCCGTCCTATTCAAAGACAACTATACACAAAACCAACACAGAAGCCTCATCACTTGAAGAAACTTCAATTCTTTTTCATGGTCCAGAAACTCCAGTGTGTCTCTGCTCTGTCCTCTCGTCTCCATTCGGATCGAATTCTAATCCGACCAGGTGAATGCCAAATTCATATACACAAAAACCCAAAAAAAAAATGGCAGTTCTTGAAACCATACGGTCTCAGTTGCCACTTCAAGAATCCTCATTTCTCAACACCAGCACTGTCGTTTCACTCACTGTGTTCTTCACGCTCCTCTGCGTTTGTATAATTATCGGTCATTTGCTCGAAGAGAACCGCTGGGCCAATGAATCGATCACTGCCCTTCTCTTGGTGTGTAAAATGTTGTACACTTTTGTTTGTGTCATATAGTTTTTGTGTCGACATTTTCTGGCCAAGAACACAAAAATTATGCAAAATTTCAGTGTTTTGTGTTGTTTAACTTTGTTTTTGTGTTGTTGGGTGTCAGGGTTTGGTTGCTGGAGTGGTGGTGTTGCTGGTGACAGGGTTCGAAAGCTCGAGGATTTTGATCTTTAGCGAGAACTTGTTCTTTCTGTATCTACTTCCTCCAATCATTTTCAATGCCGGGTATGAATCATCTTTCAATTCTATGAAATTTCAGCTTCGATTTCAATGCTTGGTTTGAAATTTCTTTCATGATGTTCGAATTTGGATCTCGAAATATCACCTGTGTGGTTGAATTTAGGATGCACATCTTAAATTTTGTAACATGGGATCTTCAAGTTATGATTAAGAATTGTTTCTGATCTCTGAAGTTTTGATCTTGTTCAGTTTCCAGGTCAAGAAAAAGCAGTTTTTCAAGAATTTCACCACAATTTTGTTGTTTGGAATCGTCGGTACAGTAATTTCTTTCTGCCTCATATCACTAGGTAAGACCTGAAATCTTTTGAAATTTAATGGAAGGGTAATGATTTCCGCACACAACTTTTCTCCTTCTCAGAGGCCAGACATAAACAGGAGTGCGGAAATTGCTTATGTGATGGAATTATGACTAATTTATCTTCTAACTGCTGCTCTTTTTGGAAACATTTTGTAGGTGCCTATTTACTTTTCAATAGATTTGGTTTCTCAACTCTGACCATTAAGGACATCCTAGGTAAGTACAAATCCATTTACGAATCATGGTTTCAATACAAATGATACGTTTTCATGGTTATATTATATAGTTATCATTTGTGCTTACGGGTTCCTCTATGTGCAGCGATTGGTGCCATATTCTCAGCAACTGATTCAGTTTGTACATTGCAGGTAATCTATAATCTCAATCCGTATACAACGTTCTTCAACTCATGTCTAACCTTGTAATCTTATTCTCATGTGCAAAGGTTCTAAATCAAGATGAGACACCGTTTCTTTACAGTATCGTGTTTGGGGAGGGAGTAGTGAATGATGCCACCTCCATTGTGCTTTTCAATGCAGTACAATCGCTAGATGTCAGCAACCTCAGCGCGCTTACAGCGTTGACCTTGTTGGGGAATTTTCTTTACCTCTTCTTCACCAGTACTCTTCTTGGTATAGCAGTAAGTTGTAGATTCTTGCTTAAATAGTGAGGAATCACTTTGTTTGGACTGTATCAGAGAGCTTGATCTGTGTTCTAACATTGATTTATCAAAATGTTTCAGGCTGGTCTGATTAGCGCTTTTATCATAAAAACGCTTTACTTTGGAAGGTATGAGCAGACACTTCAAATTTTAGCCTTTGATGCTGCATTTCCTCATCTGTGTAACTCTATGCTTGTTCTAGATGTTCCATACTTATAAGTTGCGTTCCCTGACATTATGACTTTCTTTCGAACAGGCATTCTACAGATCGTGAAGTTGCGCTGATGATTCTTATGGCTTATTTGTCATACATGTTGGCTGAGGTACCTTAAACAAATCCCATAATTAGTACTGGTTTTTACACTACCTAGGTGTCAACCTCAGAGAACTAAGAACTGATTTTGACTTTTAATACCAAAGTACTTCTCTAGCTCTTCTCGATATCTTGTAATCAGTCTACCTTGTTCATGCATTTATGGTAATCGATCATCTATATATTTAGCGGCAATCCCACCAAAAACATCTAGCAAATGCAAAACTTGCTAATCAGAATCTGGTTTTGACTAATTTTATGAACTTTGCTTAGTATCTGCCACAAAAACATTAATCACAATGGATCAAATGAACTGATTTCAGAGTGGAATTTAACGATATAAGAGCAAACTATATCTAAATTTACTTTCTTTTGCAGCTTCTGAATCTAAGTGGAATTTTGACAGTGTTTTTCTGCGGCATAGTTATGTCACATTATACATGGCACAATGTTACAGAAAGCTCGAGGGTAACAACCAAGTAAGAACAGATTATCTGCTGGTTGAGTTACTATTCGTACGAGCCTGAAAGGAAATGCGAGATATGAATCTTTAATCCGTATTGTTTGCTGGTTTCTTTCAGGCATGCATTTGCAACATTGTCATTCATTGCAGAAACCTTTATATTCCTTTATGTTGGCATGGATGCCTTGGACATTGACAAATGGAAAGCCAGCAAGGCAAGGTAATTATCTCACTAATCTAAGTGATCTTAATATTATCTTTATTAATACTTCATAATAACACGAAAAACAAGTTTGAAGAAATTGTATATTTCCCGACTCTGATGTTGTAACGTTGAAACATGTTATGCCTGACTTGTAACATACTCTTTCGTTCAGTCCAGGGACTTCAGTTGGTGTCAGTTCAATCTTGTTAGGACTAGTATTAGTCGGAAGGGCAGCATTTGTCTTCCCGATTGCGAACATCAAAAACTGTTTTAAGAATAGAGAAGGTACGAAAATCAAGTTCAAAGACCAGTTTACAATGTGGTGGGCAGGCCTAATGAGGGGTGCAGTCACTATTGCGTTGTCATACAACGAAGTAAGTTGTGCTGTTTCGAAACCTAACAGATCAATATTTTTTGGTTCTGCAAAAGTACTAAGTAGCACAATCTGATAATGCAGTTTGCAGACAATACCAAAACGACATCAACGCAAGATCGTTCTTTGATGATCACCAGTACCATAATTGTTGTTCTCTTCAGCACAGTGGTATGCTTGCGTCTCTAGAACTTATATTGCACAATATGAAAATTCTAGAATACTTCAATGGATATCGTGCATTGCTGAATTTCACGAGTGAATCTGGGCCACTGAGAGGGCAATGCATATTATCCATTGATGTAGTTGTAGGACTCATTGCAGTAAGGTCCATTGTGTCGATTTTTCCTGAGCACTTCTGAGCACTAAGTGCGAACTCACTTTTCATATCATCTCGGGTTGGTAGCTTGAGTCCCTGGACTTGTACATTACTACTGTTTTCACTTGGTGCTATGAAGCACGAAAAGAAAATCGCCATTTTTGTACTTGGTCATTGAACTTGTCACATATATGAAAATCCGTCTTTAGAATCCTTTTTCCTCTTATCCAAACAGGTATTTGGCTCCATCACAAAGCCATTAATCTCAGCTCTGATGCACCCACATGCAAAAGCAAACAATTCAGATGCAACTGATATGCCTAGCCTAGAAGACTTGAGGCTACGTTTCCTGGAAACCGGCGAGGCAAGTGAGGGAGGCAACAGTGAGCCAGCCAGAAAACCAAGCAGCTTTAGGTTGTTAATCACATATCCAACTTCAACTGTTCACTACTTTTGGAGGAAGTTTGATGACAAGTTCATGAGACCGGTTTTCGGGGGACGGGGTTTTGTTCCATTTGTTCCTGGTTCACCTAGTGGTGCAGCAGAAGATCAAGCTGCAGAACATACTGAACATATTGAACATACTCCTTGAGATCAAGGGTTAAATATAAGGGTGTGATATCCACACACCCCTTTTTACTTCTCCCACACCTTTTTGGTTTTCAGCCGTCAGATCGGATGAATTGAAAAAGATCAACAGACAGAAATTAACAAGGGGTGTGTGAGAAGTAAAAAGGGGTGTGTGGATAGCACACCCCTAAATATAAATGTAAAATTAAAATTAATTATTTTTTATGGATGGTCAAATTAGGAAGCATGTTGTTCTAGTTTTGTAAAGTGAGAGTGTGAAGCTTTTGCTGTAGTTAGAGCATCCTCTCTTTTTTTCCACGATCTAAGAGGGACTCTTAATATGAATTTCTGGCTATGCCACTATCGATTCTATCTATATTTGCGCAAAAATTTAAGCATACGAAATTGCAACTTATAAGGAGATAAGATTATTGCACTAGAAATGAATGTTACGAGCTGAGTATTATACATGAGAATACATTGCCGCTAGTAGTCCGGTGTGGTAGTAGTACCACCTTTCTGGAACAATACCAAGATGCTTCCACAATTCCAGTGCCATGGCCTCACCAGATGCTCACAAATTGCTGAAGTACTTTGACATTTATTTGGAATTTGTGGTGTTGGTTGATAAACCAAGTCATGTGCTGCTGACTTGAAATGATTATGCTGCTACTAAGCCATGTGCTTATGAAGATGGACAGAAGAATAACACAGCTAGACAAACACTTTCTGTTAGTTGTTTATTGCATGCGTAGCTTTTATTATTGCATGTGTGTATGTAAATCTTGTATAAAGATCAAGCTGCTGTTGTAGAGTAACTCAACAAAATTCAATTAAGTTGAATATATGAAATCAGTCTCTAGAAACCTAGTTTAAACTCTTTCATGGTATCACAGAGCTAAGAAAGTCTCACGACAACCCTAGAATTTTTTTTTTTTTTTCTCGCTATGGCCTCTTCTGCGTTTTCCTCCTCCGATTCCTCTTCTGCCCTAACCCCTTCTGCTATCCCTAATGTCTCCAATTTTTTGACGATCAAGCTTGATCGTACCAACTACCCTCTTTGGCATGCGCAAATGCTTCCCCTGCTTCGTAGCAGGAACCTCGTCTCCTTCGTTGATGGCACTAATCTGTGTCCTTCGGCTTTTCTAAAAGACACTGACGGCAATCTCACCACTGCTGTCAACCCTGCTTTCGAACTATGGATGCAGCAGGATGCCATGGTTATATCATGGATCAACAGTTCCGTTCACCCCACTGTTTTGGCCACTCTTATTGGCAAAAATAGTTCTCACTCCGCTTGGCTTGGACTTCTCTCCGAGAACGTTATGCTTCCACATCAACTGGTCGTCTTTTACAACTCAGGAGTGATCTGATGAACACGCATCGTGGTGATTCATCCATTGCTGATTTTCTGGATCGTGTGAACTCTCTCGCTGACACTCTATCTCTCTCGGGGTCTCCTGTTTCAGACTCGGACTTGGTAGCCATTGTTCTCAACAATGTTGGTCCTGCGTTTGAAAGCACCGTCTCGTCTGCTCAAGCTCGCGAGGATGCCATCTCCTATGGTGCTTTGGAGGCCTTGCTTCTCGGTGCCGAACGTCGCCACAAGATGAGTCAGGTGGTCCACCTTGATGCTGCCCCTACTGCTCTCATTGCTGGCCGTGGAGGGCGCGGTTTTCAGGCCGGTGCTGGTCGTGGTCGTGGCTTTCATGCTGCTGCGGGTCGTGGCGGCCGTGGTCATTTTTCTGGTGGTCGTGGCGTGATTCAACAGCCAGGAGCTCGTGCTCCTAATGATGGTGTCCTTGGTGTTGGCCCTCAGCAAAGTCATGGCTTTAATCCCAATGGTCGTGTTCATTGTCAAATCTGCCACAAACCTGGTCACTCTGCTATCAATTGCTACAATCGTATGAACATGGCATACGAAGGTCGTGTTCCTGCGCCCAAGCTTCAGGCCTTTGCTGCCGCTGCTCATGCTCCTGACCATCTCCCCGTGGCTCCTCCTCAAGTTTAAAATTGGCTCTTTGATTCTGGAGCTAATGCTCATATTACGAATGATCTGACACAAGTGGCTGATCCCCGAGAGTACAATGGAAATCACCATGTGAATGGTGTAGTTGGCGGCACAGGTTTGCATATCTCTCAAGTTGGTCACTCACATATTCGCACTCCCTCCCATACCTTTAATCTTTCCAACACCTTATATTGTCCCAATGCTTCCACCAATATTATTTCTATCAATCGTTTTACTATGGATAACCACTGCTCCCTGACCTTATATCCCCATTCTTATCGTGTTCAGGACCTAACAACAGGGAAGATCCTTTTGCAAGGCCGGAGTAAGAACGGCTTCTATCCTTTTTCCAGTCTTTCATCAAACAATAAACATGGCGTTTTTGCATTTTATGGTGGTCGCGTCTCTGATGCAGTGTGGCACTCTAGATTAGGGCATCCTTCTTCTTCTATTTTAAAGTTTTTAGTTGCTAGAAATAAATTGCCAATTCATGGTCATGTGACTTCTGCTCTATGTCACTCTTGTCCTCTAGGCAAAAGTCACAAGCTTCCCTTCCCGCTTTCACGTTCAATTTCCAAATTTCCTTTAGATTTAATTCATTCGGATGTATGGACTTCCCCGTCTTACTCGATTGATGGATTTAAATATTATGTGATTTTTATTGATGATTATTCGCGCTACTCTTGGATATATCCTTTAAAACTAAAATCCGAAGTATTTAATACTTTTGTCACTTTCAAGAAACTCGTTGAAAATATGTTTAGTCGACACATCAAATCTTTGCAAACCGATGGTGGTGGTGAATATATGAATCATGTTTTTAAAACCTATTTATCCTCTCATGGCATTCATCATCGTTTTACATGTCCTCATCACCCTCAACAAAATGGCCTTGCCGAACGTAAACATCGACATATAGTTGAAACTGGCCTTACCCTTCTTTCTCATGCATCCATACCTGTCACGTTTTGGGTAGAGGCTTTTCACACTGCCAATTATTTGATTAATCGCTTGCCCACCAAAGTTTTACATAATGCATCTCCCTTTCAAACATTATTCTCCACTCCTCCTACCTATGAATTTTTAAAGGTTTTTGGATGTGCATGCTTCCCATATCTTCGCCCATATACTCAAAACAAACTTCAATTCCGGTCTAAAAAGTGTATTTTTCTTGGATATTCTTTAAATCAGCTGGGCTATCGTTGTTTTGATCCATCCACGGGTAAATTTTTTATGTCTCGCCATGTTATTTTTTGATGAAAAATGCTTTCCCTATAAGGATATGGTTGTTCCTCCGGTTTTGCATACTCCATCCCCTGACATGATCACCATTGATCCCATCCTGCCACCTCCAAACCCACTCACCCACACTTCCCACCGTGTCCACCCTATAACCTTGCCACCTAATCCTAACCCATCTCTACCTTTATCCACTACCACTCCACCGTTTGCCAACCCAACTATCCCTCTCATACCACCCACTATTCCTTCCCTTACCTCTAACCCTTCCCCTGCGAATATTGGGATCACGAGCACTGTGCCCCTGACACCTCTTCTACCATCTCACTCCATGCTTACCCGAGCCAAAGATGGCATTCGTAAACCTAATCCCCGCTATGCTTTAATTGCTGTTGCTAATCCTTTGGTTGAACCCTCCAGTTTTACACAGGCTAACAAATGTCCACGGTGGCGTCAAGCCATGGCTGAGGAGTTCACCGCTCTCCAACGCACAGGCACCTGGATTCTTGTGCCGCATCAACCACATCTTAATGTACTTCCCAACAAATGGGTTTACAGAATCAAACGCAAATCCGATGGCTCCATCGAACGCTTTAAAGCACGACTTGTTGCTAATGGCTTTCATCAGCAGGCAGGCCTCGACTACGCTGAAACGTTTAGTCCTGTGGTTACTCACGCCACCATCCGATTAATTCTTTCTGTTGCACTGCATTACAATTGGACTATCCGACAGTTGGACGTTCAGAACGCCTTCTTACATGGTTCCCTCTCTGAAGATGTCTATATGCGACAACCCCAGGGCTTTGTTGATCCTCAGTTCCCAACTCATATCTGCAAATTGCAACGTTCGCTTTACGGACTCAAACAAGCCCCCAGGGCGTGGTTTCAGTGCTTCTCCAATCATCTAGAGGGACTCGAGTTCGTTGCTTCCCAAGCTGACTCATCCTTATTTACTTACTTTGATGGCACCACCATTATTTATCTCTTGATTTACGTTGATGACATTTTGGTCACTGGAAATCATAGTTCGCAGATTGCTCGCCTCATTGCTCAGCTTGGATCACTTTTTTCTATGAAAGATCTTGGGCCTCTCCATTATTTTCTAGGCATGGAGGTTACTCGTACCACATCTGGATTTCATTTGTCCCAGGCCAAATATATCAGGGACCTTCTTCAACGCACACACATGGCCGACTGCAAGCCCATCCACACGCCATCATCTCCTGGCCGTCGTTTGCTTCTTCACGAAGGAGATCCTCTTTCTGATGCTACTGAATACCGTAGTATCGTGGGTGCCCTTCAGTATTTGCTCTTTACTCGTCCCGACATTGCCTTCTCTGTCAATCAAGTATGTCAGTTCATGCACTCTCCCACAACGGTACACTGGGCTGCTGTCAAACGCATTTTGCGTTATCTTAAAGGCACTCATGATCATGGCTTGCTCTATCGTCCAAGTTCCCTCTCCATCACCGCTTATGCGGATGCGGACTATGCCGGTGATCCTAATGATCGTCGTTCCACAGGCGGTTATTGTATTTTTCTTGGATCTAATTTAATTTCATGGAGCTCCAAGAAACAACGTGGTGTTTCTCGCTCAAGCACTGAAGCTGAGTATCGTCAACTCGCTTATACTGCTGCTACTTTGTCTTGGTTTCGCAATTTATTTCATGATCTTCATCTTTCTCTTACACCCCCTCGGTTATGGTGTGACAATATAAGTGCTCTTGCCGTTGCTTCGAACCCTGTATATCAAGCACGAATGCGACATGTTGAAGTTGATTATCATTATGTTCGTGAGAAGGTTACTCGGAAGGAAATTATTGTGGGATATGTTGCATCTTCGGATCAGGTAGCAGATTTTCTGACCAAAGGCTTGTCTTCCACTCGGTTTCACTTTCTTATTTCCAAGCTTCCCGTTCTTGGTCGACCGCTTAGCTTGCGGGGGCGTGATAAACCAAGTCATGTGCTGCTGACTTGAAATGATTATGCTGCTACTAAGCCATGTGCTTATGAAGATGGACAGAAGAATAACACAGGCTAAGCCATGTGCTTATGAAGATGGACAGAAGAATAACACAGCTAGACAAACACTTTCTGTTAGTTGTTTATTGCATGCGTAGCTTTTATTATTGCATGTGTGTATGTAAATCTTGTATAAAGATCAAGCTGCTGTTGTAGAGTAACTCAACAAAATTCAATTAAGTTGAATATATGAAATCAGTCTCTAGAAACCTAGTTTAAACTCTTTCATTGGTGACTAAAGGGACACAAGCGGGATACCGTTATAGGATGACCTTTCAGACAACATGATATCTGGAGAGATCCCGGAGGAACTAACCAGCCTCACCGGCTTGCAATCGTTGAATTACCGAAAGCTCTTTTGACCGGGAGAATCCCTTCAAAGATTGGTAACATAAAATGGTTACAGGCTGTGGATTTATCAAGGAACCAACTTCACGGTGAAATTCCTTGAAGCACAAGGAGTTTGACATTTCTGAGTATCTTAAACTTGTCCTACAACAACTGGACAGGAGAAATTCTGAAAAGCATCAGCTTCAGAGCCTTGATGAATGTAGCTTTAAAGGCAACGCAATTTGCGGACCTCCACTCGACAAAAATTGCAGTGAAAGTAGGATGGTACGACCAACAGTCAAGCAAGATGTAGGAGAATATCGTCTACTTAAAGACAAGTGGTTCTACCTGAGCTTGGGACTAGGTTTCTTTTTCGGGTTTTGCAGCGTACTTGGTTCTTTGCTTGTAAACATGCCCTGGAGCAGTTTTCTTTCTCGGTTCCTCAATCGCATAGTACTCAATATTAGGGATCTAATTGTTGAATACATTTAGCTAGTTTCGTACATTGCTCCCATCAATGAAATTGTCGTTTGTTTTTCGATTAGGATCTACATGTATAGGACCGACCTGTCATAGGCTTTGCCCTAATGCTTGTAGGAATCTTCCTGTTCTTGTTAGTTAGCTTTTGTTTTGCACCAATTAAAACCGTTTGAGTTTGGTTTCCTTTGTGAATAAGGAGGACCCATGTTTTCTCTCCCGATTGAATCGTGGTTTGTAAGAGTATAAAACAAGTTTAGTGTTGTGTTTCAAGTATCTAATCTTTGCAATGGCCTGTACCTTTCAATTGCTTTCTGTCGTCTTCTCCATCACACTTTCGCTAGCACTTGGACCGAATTCTGCAGGTGGTTCTCCAATCGGAGTATGCTATGGAATGGTGCCAACAACTTGCCACCACCAAGAGAAGTAATTGACATGTACATGTACACAAATTGAATAATAATGAACGAATGAGACTCTACAATCCAAACCAAGAAGCACTTGAGGCCCTTCGCAATTCTGGCATCAATCTCCTGGTCAATGTGAAGAATGAGGATCTTCAACAACTTGCAAGCTCCAACTCCACCGCTGAGAACTGAGTTACAATAAACACCAAGCCTTATCCGCCCCATGTTCAATTTTGATACATTGCCGTCGGCAGGTCATCCCAGGAGAGCTTGCCCAATATGTCCTCCCAGCAATGCAAACCTTGCAAAGGGCATTGAGGTCTGGGGGTCTTGATCACATCAAGGCCTCAACTTCAATTGCAACATCAGTTTTGGGTGAATCTTACCTTCCTTTGACCGCGAACTTTTCTGAAGCCGCCATGGCTTACAAGGCACCTATCGCGCGATACCTAAACGACATCACTGTGCCATTACTAGCCAATGTGTATACTTATTTTTCCTACAGTGGAAACTCAAAAGACATCCCCCTACCTTATGCATTGTTCACTTCTAACAGTGCTGTCGTGACCGATGGTGGTCTAAGTTACTACAACCTGTTTGATGCCATGGTGGATGGACTATACGCATCACTGGAGAAAGCAGCGGCACCTCGTGTCCAGGTGGTGGTGTCTGAGGCCGGTTGGCCCTCCGACGGGAATGGAAACGTGACAGCACCCGGCAATGCGCAAACATACAACTCGAATTTAATAAAGCATGTGTTGTCGTCCAGGGGAACTCCAAGGCTGCCGGGAAGCTCCATCGAGACGTACATTTTTTCCATGTTTAATGAGAACATGAAGCCCGGCGATGCAGTGGAGCAACACCGGGGTCTGTTTTATCCGAACAAGAGTTCCGTTTATCCAATCAACTTCGGGAGCAAAAGATCGAGAGACATACAAGTAGCATACTATGTTGTTGCTGCTTTTGTTATTATACTACTTTTGATAGGTTATGGGAAGATGCAATTTGATTAGATAGTCTGCTTTTTTCGTTCTTATGAAGTAGAATGTGATATGTGCAAAAAATTAGAACGTTTGAGCAAAATATAATTACCACCCTTTTGTTTCTTAATTTTGGAAAAAAGTAATGTTGATAGTTTTTAATTGTATCATGATCTCACTGTCCGGAGCCTAAATAATTAGGACCACTCAAATTAAATTCGACAGTTTTTAATGATTTATTTTGCTGGCACACCTTACACAAACAAAGAGTTTTAATCTTCCTATACGCAAACTAAAATCTTTGATTTACGTTCACCTGATACTTAAGCTCCGAACACTAAAGTTCGGACATGATCCAAATTTGTAAAAATGCTCTCAACTCGTTGAGCCTTTCAATTGCAATATCGTGTAATTCCGATAGAATTATCCTAGTCGATAAGAAACGAAATCATCTTTACTTTAAATAAAATAAAATTTTAATTGTTCTCCAAAAAAATAAAAATAAAATTTTAATTTCTGTGAAAAAAAATTATTGGATGTGTGGATGGGGGACCAAGTGGTATAACTGCGAAGCACCGTATAAATCCTCCTTAAACCCTATTACTCTGGAAGTCTGCCAACTAAGAACCCCTCCTCTCTCTCTCCCTCTGTTATCGATCTCTCCATGTTACTTACAGAAACTCAAATTGGGGTTCTCGAAGATTTGTGATTAACGATGGCTTTCAGAAGTTTACACCGGATTCGAGCTCTCTATCGTACGGCCCAGATTGCAGAATCCTCCCATCTGTGAGTAAAAATTATTGGTTAATGTCCTGCTTGGTCACTGAGAATTTGAAATTTTGAATTTTTCCAAGCTTTGGACTGCAAAGGAAAATGCTTCTGATGATTAATTGAAATGGGTATTTCAAAGATTGGATCTTTTTTGAATTTTCAGGCTTGGAAGCTCCAGAGGCTATGCCACTGGTATTTCAAATGGTAATTTTGATTTTTCCGCAAGTGGGGGAGTAATTTCTTATGGATTTATTGGGTTGGGATGCACTTTGTTTTTGGAAATTGATTGGGTTGGGATGCACTTTGTTTTTGGAAATTGACATACTTTTTTGCCTGTGATCAGTCCCTGGATTCTATTGCCGGAACGTATCGTCTTGCTTGTACAAGGGCAGCCATGGGGGCCTTCCTTGGACTCATGGAAGTTCTATAACATTGCGTTCTGCACTGGTGAGTTTCAAAAACTTGTAACTTGATCGGTTCGATGCCACTGCTAAACTTTGGATTATGAGCATCCCTTTTTAATTGTTTCTTTATTGTGCATTTAGGCTGTTGATTACTAAAACTTAAAACTTGAATAGTTTGGATGCCAATGCTAATTTTGGATTTTGAGCATCCCTTTTAATTGTTTCTTTATAACTTGAATTGGTTTGGTGCCAATGCTAGATCTGGATTATGAGCATCCCTTTTGATTGTACTTCATTGTGCATTTAGGCTGTGTTGAGTTACTAAAACTCCTTTTTTTATTGCTTCATTGTCTTTCATTTAGGCTGTTGAGTTTCCGATTTTCTTGAGTGACACGAGGTCACTATCAACACAAGTAAAAGCCCCTGCACAAGCAAGACAAATGGTATGTTATCTTTTCGCTCAACTGTTCTTATTTAATCCCTTTCGGTTCAGTTTATGTGGACGATGATCAGTGCTTTTGCTTCTTCTTAATATATTATGTTAGTTCTTTACTGAAACAAGTATCCATTTTTAAAGGTTACAGTGTATCTGTCATCTTGTGCTCTTGATCAAGAGAACCAATGAACTTCTAGTTTCCTTAGTCTGCTCGTTGGCATGACAGATCATAATACCGTGTGTGGTTTCCTTATGATATATGCAGGGTGCTCTTAGAGTAGCCATGTTGAGTCCAGGTTTTATCTATGAGCCTTATACACCTCGTGAAAAAGTCTCATTTTTCAAAAGGTTAGTTATTTCAAAACTGAATTTTATTGATCTTGTAGAAAATGGTAATTAGAGTAGGCTTGCAAACTGGTGGAACTCTACTGAGTATCACTACAAATTTTAGGTAGTTCTCACTTTTCACCGGATTGATAGTATAATCTTTGTTTTCTTTAACAATTATAGAAATTAGTTATGCTAGGTTTCTCGTTAAACTCTCTTAGCTTTAGTTTCACTAGATAATTTTAGACTTGGTTACTTATATTTTTTTTATTCAATCTCCTGTTCTTATATATGAAAATTCTGATGTTTTATGTATCAGATGGTTCACAAGAAGCGGGTGGAAAAGAACAAAAGAAGATATAATTATAGAGGTGAAGTTCTAAGGCTGTCTTGTTTTAGTGATTCAATCTTCTGGTTAATTCTGTTGAAGCTTCTTTCTTCTATTCTTTCATGACTGTCCTTCATTCCCACAAGTTTTTCTAAATTCCGACCCACTCTTTTTTATGTTTTGGATTGGGATGGTAACTCGTAATATATATAGATTGCTGATTGAACTTAATTATCGATATTTCAGTCAATTGAGGTCTGATTTTGACATCTAAGGTTGATATTTCTGGTTTTTAACTTTTCAGCTCAAAAGTGCATATGCCATTGCCAAATTAAGAAAAAAGGGGTATTCAAAGAATCTATTCTACAAAGAAGCAATAAACTTATACAAGGAGGTATTTATATCTACTTCTCGGTTTCTTTCTTAGGTTTATGCATTTTATATTTCTTATATTCCAGCTTTTCTGGTCCTTTCAATTTTGAGTTGCTTCTTTTAGCTGCGTTGTATGAGTTTCTCCTGTAGCTAATCCGTTCACCTTCTTCTCCAGATAAATACTTTAATGGCAAACGGGGACAAAAATACTTTAAGGAAAGCAGTTACAGAGAAAATGTTTTCCGTATGCTTCTGTACTTTTTTGTTTCTGTTAAGTTTCTGCTGTATTTATACTGATTATTCTGATGTAAAGGAATTTCTGTTGAAGTTCTGACACATCATTTATGATCTTTTCGTATGCAGGAACTAAAGAATGAAATAAAACAAAGAGATTCCATCTGGAGTAAGGTGTACTGGGAATTGGTGGAACCAGTTGTGAAAATACGAACTTTGCGAGCACGACTGGTAAGTGTTTGTCTAATTAGTATAATTTTTTATTCACACTATGGAAGCACTTCTATAAAACAGAAAAGAGGATTTACTAATCGTGAGAATATTTAGCTGCTTAGGTTTGAGGAAACTTTCAAACCATCAAATTGAGTGAATTATTGATATCAACTTGTAAAGTTTTAACTGCTAGGTTAAAGGAAAATTTCCCTTTTTTTTACTTTTGTTTGCCATCTCTTCTCTCCCAGCTGTATTCCTGTCCTTCTTCTGTATAATAGGTTCTCTAGATATCTCTTGGCTTTGTTAGTTAACATCTCTTAGTTGCCATGAGCCCCGAAGTTAATACTCCTGTTAGAATCCATCACATAAATTGCTTTGAAATCAAAATCTTAGCTATTTTTGCTTCTTTTCGTTATAGAACTTGAAGAAATTGAAGCTTTAGTACAGGGTTACAGCTGATAAGCTTTGTATTTCTTATGCTTTACAAGATAAGCAAATTTAACAATTGATAAGCCATGTTACATTTTTTCCGTAGCTCATAAGCTTGGGAACAATTGAATGTTTCCTTGATTTTAGTGCACCGGTGTCTTATTGTTTTTTACAATTACTTTATGCCATGTCTTTTTCTCTTTTTAATCACAGATTGGCGTTGATCGAAATGATCTTGAGAAGGTGTTCATACAGCTTACGCTTGAGTTTCTGACAAAGCAGGTACATGAACAGCTAGACTCATGGCTTATGTATCATTTTTATGTTGCTTTCTTTCATTGTTTGCTTTTAATTCAAAACTTCAACATACTGAGAGTGCTACTTCTTTTATTTTTTCCTCTTTGTTTTTCTGGCAGAAATTCGAAGCATATGACTCGAAGGGTGCTGTTGTAGCTGGAGATAAATCGAAGGAGGTAAAGTGCGATAGAAAAAAAAAATTAAAAAAACCAGTGAATGTCCGGTTAAAAAAAAAGAGAGAAGAAAACCGGTGGACAAGAATATATTTACCAATAACACCAAACATATTAAGGGTTCCCTTTTTCTCCTCTTCCAAGTGATGATGACATGCTTTCCGTGCTCTGTAGGTCCTTGTTCGCGATATCTGGGTATTTGAAAAATCTCTCTTCCAGCCTAAAGCTTTCTGGCGTCTATGCGGGAGGATTTCTGTCTAAGCAAGCTATCCTTCCCATAAATCTACCGTGTTGATGACGAACTATATGCTGTTACCCAATTTTGTAAACTGAGCATATCACGATTTACCATACTAGTTGTATGCATGTAGCTACAGCTTTTATTGTTGAATTCAACTTTTAACCCGAGTTACGCGCTTGGGGATCGATCCTTGGAGCATTCTAACATTATTTGTACCTTATTCTTTTGCAATTCTAAAGAAACTCTCCTTTTTGCAAGGTGTATCTTCACCGAGAATGTACCGGAAATGTATTCCAGTACGTCTCAGGCGTGCCATTCTTCCAAACAATGTCTTCCTAGATATTCTGTCTTGCTCCATAGGAAAGGGCAATGCCATTTTTGGTACTCTTTCATTCCATCAAGTTTCACAGGAAAATTTATTTTGTTTTCTATTTTTTGTTTAAGAAAGAGAGAATACCTTGCTTCAAAGTTTCAAATTACAACTCCAAAGAATGGTATCCACACCAGCAAACCTTTCATCCAAAACTCCACATTATCTTCTCCTCAGTTCTGCAGTCGTATTCGACGTTTCACAATTATTTTTTAGGGGAAAAAGATCAACGGATGGATAGAAGAGAGGAGCATTTCCAGTTTCTGGGCATTTGCCAAAGGCTCTACAACTTCATCACGAGAAGCCTCGCCTCGCAACCCTTCAAGACCGTGAAACTAGGCCCTCCGATGAACCAACGCTACCCCGAAACGGCCATATCTGATGCTAACCCTAATGAAGCCGGGACCAGAAGAGGCCGAAACGTGCGCCCGATGGCTCGAGAGTACCAAACGCAAGATCAAGTAACGGCGGTTGCACACCAAGCAGAAGCTTCAAAGAAAATGGTTAGCATACATCACAGGGTGGAGGACATAGACGAAGTGATGAAGCTAAGACGAAAATCGTTGAAAAAGTTGAAATGTTTAGAGGTAGGAAGAGATGAGCCAAGACCGTTAAGATCCATTCTGAAGGTGGGTTCTGATCTTGAGCGGGAAGATGGGCACATTTGAGAATTCAACCACTACCACATATTCATGAGTTTATCAGTTTATCATGGTTTGCAGCTGGAATTAGATTATCATGTCTTGATAACAACAACAACAACAAAACCTCATTCCATTAAGTGGTGTAGGCTGTAATAATTCTAGAACGCCACTACGCTTGGCGCAAAACTGAGCGTAGTCGCGTTCTATTACTTATATAGCCAACCATACGTAGTGGGATAAGGTTTTCCTGTTGGTGTGGTTGTTATCATCTGTTGTGAGTCCTAGGTCACGGAATCCGACTAATTTGTCATCACCAGTTGATTAAACATGATATGGAGATGGTTAATTATGAATGTTTATAGTCTTTTGTTTCCCTTGAAGTTTGGTAATTACCAAAAAAGTTACTTTGTCTTCTAATATTCTCGTAATATATACAGAAACAAATTCGGTTACAAAACTTAATCAAACGAAGAACTGGATGAATACTACTTAGACAGTAAAGGACATTGAAACTGCATTTACATACGGCTTACTGTTTGTTTAGCATTTATTAATTTTATTTTTTATTAAAAATTTATAATCGATACTATTTACGCATATTTAACAAAAATTATTATTCTATCGAACATTCATTTATTGTTTTTGTGATCACAGGGTAACGAAAATACAAGTCCACGCAGCCCACAAAATCATAACTTAAACCATAAATATGGGAGCTTTAACGAAAAGCACATGGTACTGTTCACTTTAACGAAAAACCATATTTTTACACTAAAAAATCAATCATGGTACTATTCACTTTACCCTTTATTTTGTCCTTATTATTAAAACTCAAAGTTTTCAAGTCATTTTTATTAGTTTTCCTTAAAAAAAATAAGAAAAATTAATGAAGAGGGCTTGAAAACTTTGAATTTTAATCAAAATAACAAAAAAGTGTTGTGAGTAAATAGTATCATGAATGACTTTTTAGAATGAAAATATCATTTTCATTAAAAGTGAACAGTATAAAAATGTTTCGATAAAACTCTGAAAAATTTAACACTGAATTTGGACGTAATCGTGAGAAAAAGAGTTGCCAATTTCAAAGCAAAAGGCATGGAGGACATGCAACGCAGGCCCAGTTTATGAGTTTAAAGCCACTTTTAAGGCCACCACCCAAATGGTCAAACATGGGCACTTCATATTCTTCGTGCTCTCATTCCACCACCACACTCTCCACTCACTCCCTCCTCCTCACGCACCCCAAATCATCTGCCTTTAAGCAATCAGGATTCCCAAATCCCGATTCCAAATTCCATTCCACCCACCAAATTCCGCAGACCCATCTGAGGATCATGTCCCAGAAACCCTCTCAGGTTTTGGGTGGGAAAGTTGAAGTTGGGGAGACCCAGGAGGGAATTTCCAAAAGACCCATGATTGATTTTCATGGGATTGATGAGGGGCTGGTGGAGAAGATGGTGTATGATGCTCTTGTTTGGAGCTCTCTTCATGGGCTTGTTGTTGGTGACAAGTCCGTTCAGGTCTGTGTTTTTATTGCTCTGCTGAATTTTTGTCTGGTTTTGAACTGATTGGTACAGAAGTCTTTAGTTTGTTGAAAAAAAGGAACATTTGATTCAGCATGTATTGTAGAAGATTGGATTGAGATATCTGAGAATTCAATCTAGTTTTAGTTTAAGCCTCATTTGGAAGCACTATTAAAATGACTGAAAACACTTTTGGTAAAAATGTTTTTTGGTTCCAAAAGCACTTGAACTTTTTCCTACAAGAAGCACATAACTTGTGCTTTGTAGTTGTATGTGAAGAAGAACACTACTTTGAGGTCAAATTTAAAGGATTTTAGTTGCCACAACATAGGAAATTTTTAATCTACAATAAATATGTAAAGGTATAACTTAAATTCTTGAATTTGACGTTGACGTTGATGTTGAATGCTGTAAATTACAGAGATCAGGAAAAGTACCTGGTGTAGGCATGGTACATGCACCATTTGCTTTGTTTCCGATGCCGTTTCCAGAAAGTCATTGGAAGCAAGCATATGAGTTATCCCCCATATTTAATGAACTTGTCGATCGAGTGAGTTTGGATGCAAAGTTTCTGCAGGATTCACTGTCCAGGTACTTTTTCACATTGAGTGAGATTGGTGTATCATGTAAGATCAATTGTGGGTTAGGACAGCCATACCCTTTTGTGTGTCTCACCATCTCGGTAGAAACTTTGCCCCTAACAAACTTACTTTGAACTTTAACAATTGTGCATGGGGATAAGAGAGAATTAACATACGTGACATCTGCAGTTTTTATCTATTGGCTCTAGAGGTTAGAGCAATTCTTGAAGTAATTTAATTGTAATCTTCAAATCGCAGAACGAAGAAAGTGGATGCTTTTACATCTAGACTTCTAGATATTCACTCCAAGATGCTAGAGATTAACAAGAAAGAGGTAAACTTTCAATACAGCATTTTCACACTGATTATTGTAAGAGGAGAACTTCATAGAATGTGATTCATTAGTTGAATGAATCTAGTGTATGTTGTTTGTTTAGCAACTGATTCATTTCTTATAAACTTGTTGGATGGAGTTCTTTTAGATACATATATTTTAAGTTATGTGATAGATATACATACCCATGATGTGATACAACGGAAAAAAGGACCATTACAGTATGTAGTTCTGGATGCCACTCATGTGTTCATTTGATTTGATTTAACTTAGCTTTTGTTTGTGTGTAAGAATCTTCTTGTTTGTTGGTGGTGAAGATGCTAAACTTTTCTAATTACTGAATTAGGATATACGCTTGGGTTTACATCGCTCAGATTATATGCTTGATGAAGAAACTAAACAACTCCTTCAAATAGAGATGAACACAATTTCATCTTCATTTCCGGGACTCGGTTGTCTTGTCAGCGACCTTCACAGGTTAAGTAATAAGAGATGTTGTGATTAACATGTATTCCGTAGTTTGTTTTTGAATTTCTGAATTCTCAATTTAATGCTAGATTCAACTAATGAAATTATTCCTGTGTATCAGTGATATGTGTACATCTGTTAAAATCTCATATTTCCAATGCCAAAAATTTCAGCGCAAATAATACCAATTATTTTACCCTTAGCCTCTCATTTTACAGGAGCTTACTTAATCACTATGGAGAATATCTTGGATTAGATTCCAGAAGAGTTCCTAATAATCCTGCAGCCACTCAGTTTGTAGAGGCTTTGGCTAAAGCTTGGACTGAATACAATAACCCCAGGTTAGAACTGAAACAATATTTCATCTGTTTTCTTCTGCTCCTGCTATATTCAGTGAAGCAATTAAACGAGTAGTTAAATTGGCATATATGTACAGGTCCGTAATCCTGTTCGTGGTTCAGCCTGAAGAGCGGAACATGTATGACCAACACTGGCTTTCTGCTCTGTTGAAAGAAAGATATCCTTTTTAGCTCTAAACAAACTTTCATGTTGGTGAAAGTGGTATTTCTCGGAAAAATATATAATTATCAATTCTATGCTTATATCTTTGGTAATGAACTAGTTAGTAATGTTCCTTAACTGTATAACACACATAATGTATCAACTCTTCGGAAACATTGGCTGAAATTGATTCAGAGGGGAAGCTTCGACCAGATGGAACACTTGTTGTGTATGTACCCTTCTAGATTTGTGGATCTAGCATGTTATATCTTTGACTTTAATATCTGAGAAAGATTCGAACTTGCAGGGGTGGCCAAGAAGTTGCAATTGTTTATTTCAGAGCTGGGTATACACCAATTGATTATCCATCTGAATCAGTAAGCAAGTCTTACTCTGAAATACTGATTCTGTTTCAAGAATAATGGGAGATTCTTCCTTTTAGTAGTGAACATCTGTTGTTCACTAGCAGAAAATGTAGTTACTTATCCACAAAAAGGGTAAAAAGTAATTTCATGTCCCTAAATTCATGTATTTATCTATGTCTGTTCGGGGGTAAATTTGGTTGGCTAATCCTGCATATTTTGTTTTTATAAGTATGGGTACAGCGACCTCTGTCTGCTTGCATGCGTCTTTTATTTATATAACCTGACTTGAAATAATTTGCATGCATGTAGTGATGTAACTTGGCCGTGTAAAACTTGTAATTGCTCATTGCGGTTCTTTGTTGCGTTTTGAAATATGCTTAAGATGGTACTTTACGTGTTACTCATAAAAGAAAAATGATACTTCAGTTGCATAATATGACCTCGGGGTGTGACGATGTCTGCTATATGGCTTTTAATACCGTGTTTCTCAATTTATAGGAGTGGAGAGCAAGGTTCCTTATGGAGCAGTCATCTGCCATCAAGTGCCCCTCAATTTCTTATCATCTAGTTGGGACCAAAAAGATTCAACAAGAACTTGCAAAGCCTAACGTTCTTGAGAGGTATTGCTGGCTTACAACTCCATTCAATATTTTCCTCGTGTTATGTATCATAATTTAGGGAAGAACGGTTACCATTGTTACAACCAGTAACGTCATAACTTTTTGTCATCTTCATGTGAGCAGGTTCCTTAATGATAAAGAGGACATTGCAAAACTGCGAAAATGCTTTGCAGGATTGTGGAGTTTGGATGACTCGGATATTGTCAGAAAGGCAATAGAGATCCCCGGGTTATTTGTTATGAAGCCCCAAAGAGAAGGCGGAGGTGAATGAATTTAGACTTTGTTCTGCCAATTGTTGTAATGACAAGTATTATTAACGAGTCATTATTACACTTCAGGGAACAATATCTATGGTGATGACGTAAGGGAAGCCCTTGTACGATTGCAGAAGGAAGGGTCAGAAGCAGATGCTGCTTATATCCTAATGCAGAGGATATTCCCAACTGTTTCTCACACATTCTTGATGCGTGAGGGCATATGTTATAAAGATGATACCATATCTGAGCTCGGGGTATACGGTGCTTACTTAAGGTATATGACTTTTATGACTAAAATTTAAATCTTCGGGTTTCTGTTTTCTTTCTTCCTTCCCTTTATATGCACGGGTACAATCCACTTCTGTTGGCATTGTTTATGTCGTGCGAACAAAGCTGTACCAAAAGGCGTGGAATCATAGTGCCGCGTTTTCATTGATGCAGGAACAAGGATAAAGTGATCTTGAACGACCAATGCGGCTACCTGATGCGGACAAAGGTTTCCTCATCAGATGAAGGTGGAGTTGCAGCTGGATTTGCAGTCTTAGATAGTTTATATCTAACCTGAAGAAGTCGGCTCCAAATTATACTCGAAACGGGTTAGTTTATAGAGCTAAACAGTTTGTCATCGATTTATTTACTCAAACAAAACATATGCGCAACAAGATCCGATATGTTACTGAGATCTAACAAGCCAAAGAACCCTTTCGTGTATTTTTTTTTCGCATTCTCTCTTCAATTTCTTGCCACACTTTCTCAATGGCATTCAAAATTTTGGATACATGGATATTATGAATTTTGATCTCAAAAACTATGAAACATTAGTAGAAAATTTGTATCCACAACTACGAAAGAAAATTTGTATCCACGTTACATTTTTCTGCCTCTTTTTGGAAGAGTGATGAGACTCTCCTAGCTCCCGTTAACGCTGCATTGGCCCGTTGCAGGGTTTTGTTGGCTATGGCTTTCAGCAAACTTACCCCTTCCGACATCAAGGCGATGATTCCTTCTCTATCTCCTCTTTCATTTCTGGTTCATGTTGTCCACAGTCTGCACGTCATTGACAATGTTCTTCATCTGAAACATGAGAGGAAGTTACCCTACGACAGGGATATACAGTAGCAGTGACATCATCGATAACTAAACTTTATTAATCACACAAACGGATGCAAGACAGGTTGTTAAACTGATCTGAAATTGAGCTATTGATAATATCTGGTAAAGTGAGAAATTAAAACAAGGTTAATATTCCAATATAATCGAGAAAATCATGCTTTGAGATGAACGCAGCTAATGGTGGTATTTATCATGCCCTTCTCGGACCCAAGACTCTTGAATAATGCCACGTGAATCGCTAGAAACATGTAAAGTGTATGCTTAACCGAATAATGAAAGTTTCTTAAGGGAATTGGAGTAGGCTACCATGAGACAAACAATCTTCTTTCTAAAGAGATTCTGTTCAAAACTATTATGTCCAAGGTCCAATTTTGAAATAATTTCATAGGTTTTTCCTTGACTTTGTTGTGTCAACAAACAATTCAAAATGCCTCCACTTTTTTAGAACAGGTTCGAATCAAAATAGTAATTAGCCAGTCTACATCCTAATTTTGATAAACTTAGCCAAATGGTCAAGACAAAACATGCACTAAATCATCAAGTATGCATCTTTACAAGAAGATTAGATTTTAAGCATTAAAATCAAAAGATTTTAAGTTAAAATTCTATTGTGCACCAGTGTATTATTATTTTCAGTTAGGACTTCACTGAGATCAAGGAGACCAAGATCCCGGTAAAGTGTAAAGGAGTACTTGCGATCTGTTGGATTTTGCGCGTAGAGAGAGAGAGAGAGAGAGAGAGAGAGAGAGAGAGAGAGAGAGAGAGAGATTGGTATTTGGTAGTGTGATGTGAGAGAAAAGGAAATATTCGGTTTACGAGTTGGGGTTAAACCAAGCATGCTGCTTTAGCCTTTAATGATGCTGTTTCGTTGAAATCAGGAAGCCCTTGTTTTTCTTTTTTTGTCAGTAGAGCTGCAACCCAAGATAACGGGAGACCCTCACAATTTTTGGCTCGAAGATTGCAACAATAAATAACAAAAAAATTCTAATCTTAGGCAGCATAAATCAGACCGCCGCCGCCACATCCTCAAATGAAGTTAAATTTCAAACCGAGAGAATAGATATCAGATCCAAATCCCCTTCACGAACATTTGCAAATATATACAAATAAAGTATCATATGGGTAGAGAGTGAGGCTAAGGGGATATGTAAAATACCCAACACTTGACCTCGATGGGGATCCGACATGTTGGTTGGGGCAAAGGAAGTGAGGGGGGGGGGGTAATGGATCTAGTATCCAATTTCTGATTGGAGCCTGCCAATCCGAGTATATGGTGGGATGAGGATGAAGTATCATAGCTAAGAAGAAGGAAGGAAAATTAAAAGACAGAAAGCAATAAAAGTAGGCGAAAACGCCAGATAAGGGGCATGAAGCCCAAATTTGAGACAAGCTCAAGGGATAGTTGAGATTCGGCTTAGGGAAAACTGAGATAAACTTAGAGGAGAACCGGGAATAAAAACGTAGGAAGGAAACTGGAAAGGGGGAGGAAGAAGAGTTGGATGCAAGGAAGGGGATGGGGCAAAGGAGATGAGAGGGGAGGAAAAAGAAGGAAAAGGCAAAGGAGAGATGAGGGAAGAAGGAGTAGCAGGCTGCCGCCTACCCCAAGTAAGAGCAAGGGGCGGTAGCTGAAGCTTGAAATTGGGGATGGAGCTACTGGATTTGGACTTCTAGAGAGAGAAACAAAGAGAGAGACCCTTCCACTAATTAATTATTGATGGAAGCCCTTGTTTTCTGAAATATCGAATTTGGTTTGGCCAATGTTTGTTAGTTACATCATGTGTCACTCTCTCAGGTGGGGATTTTTGTGTAAGCAATGATATATTTACACATTAGTATTTCTCTTATTTTGTAATGACAACTTACATTAATATATCTCTTGTTATGTGATACATTAGTATCTGTGTCATCATGTGAAACATCTCACATAATGAGAGCGGTACTAATTTCGAGATATATCCCTAGTTTCATTTTTAAGTTTCTCCTCTCGCACCCAATCCCCTGTCAAATGCTTCATCTCATTTCTTTTTTTCCCTTCAACTAGAATATTCTAAATGCATTGGAGCAAGAACATCAAGCTGCACTTTGTAGTTTAGCACTTCATGAACAAATGAGAGAGAGCATTCAATCAAGAAAACATCCACCAAATCAAACATCTGTTTTATAATGGAATCAGAGTATTTCCTATGCTGAAATCATTTGAACACAAATTTGTTGTTGCTAATTTTTATTTCAAATTTTCTCGAGAGTATGAACATACAACAATTAAGGCCTGATTTGGTATTGAAGTGATTCTGAAAAAAAAATGGGTATAAAAAAAAACTAGGAGTTTTTTTGTGTTTGGTAAACATTCAGTTTCAGTTTTTTTTCACAATTTTGGGTGAAAAAAAACCAAAAACACAAAGTTGCAAAACCTAGCTTTGAAAAACCAGCTTTTTTTCACATCCGTTTTACTTAAAAGTTTACCAAACATTATAATACTATTTTTTTTTTCAAAAGCACTTTTACAAAAAAGTTTACCAAACATTATGCTGCTTTATTTCACAGCTGCTTATTCTCACAGTACAGCAGAAGCAGTTTATTTTCAAAACACAGTAATACCAAACCAGCCCTAAGTACAAGGTCAAATCAAAGGGATTCCCAACCCAATTGCTGGGGCAGCCTATGTTCATATGCTAAAATTGCATAATCAATTCGTTTGCGGAATTTTTTCATCAGTTTCATGCCAAATGTCGTCACTGTCTCCGTTGTCTTCTTCCGACTCAGCTAGTTGGTCGAAAAATGAATCAAGGTACCAGGGGCAACGTTCAGTCCAATCAACCCTGTTGGCGCGGGCTCGCCACTTTTGGTCCGCTATCATTTCGGGTGAGAGACCCCATTCTTGTAGTTCTTCCTCAGTGTGATGAATTGCTAAGCTGTACTCTCCACCCTTTCCTAATTGCATCACTCGAAATTCGCAATTTCCAAGGTTGATTAGGAGCTCAAATTGCTCGACCGTCCACTTGAACCACTTCATGAGGAAGACGCGTGATGCTAACCCGTGCGATATTATTATAAGATTGAGGTCGTGGCAAGGGTCGTGGCGAAGCCTGTTCATGTCTATGTCCCTCCATAAGGATTCAAGAAAACCTGCAATCATCTGTCTCATTAGGCAACATATTCATTTCAGTAGAGAAATCTGTGAAACCAAAACTTTTACACTTTTCAGCGTAAAAGAATTTCGAAACCTTCATATATTCATCTCATCAGGAAGAGTGATGTCAAACTGATCGTACAACTCTAACGATGAATACTACTGGAAGCCAGTGCTATAAATTTAACATACACAGAATTCCCGAAGATTAGTGTTCTAGTTCATATAGCTGCACGGAGTAAGCATTGTTCGTATGGCAGTTCTATTAAAATGAACTTCCATTTACGGCTCTTGCCATCTTCCATTTTTGGACCATGAAGCAGTATCTCGTCAATAACCTCTTAATTGTGTGCAAGACAATACTTTAATCTTCATTGCTTTAAACAAAGCGATATCCTACACTACTCAAACCTACAAGGAGGGGATTCAAACTAAGGTGCAAGGGGTTCGGCACCCAACAGACTAACACTCTTTCTAAATGCAGACATTGGTTAGGCAAAGTTGACCACGGTAGTGCGCTCGCCCCTTAGCATCTAAGTTCGAATCCTCCAACCCGTAGTTTAGAATATCGCCTTGTCAAAGTTCGACGCATTTATACACGTACTTTACCTAAATGTTTCCCCAAATGCCAAACCACCAAAAAATAAAAACAACGTAAAAGTTTTGAGCTTTACTACAAACAACCAAAAATTCCCAATTGGGAACTTCCAAAATGCTAAATAAACAAAACCCAAATCCAAAAATTGAGGAAAAAAAGACGTACTCGAAACGCGATCGTAGACGTCGGCGGCGGACTCCCCCTCCGGAAACCGGTAGAAGAACCGGCCGAACTGCTCCCTGGTCTCCTTAGTGGCCTTCATCCGATCCTGCTCTTGGAAGTTCCCGAAATCCTGCTCCCGTATCCGGCACTCCTCGCGGACCCCGATGATCCGCGTCCTGGAGAATGACCGTCCGATCTGGCAGAGCGTGGACCGCGTCCGCTCGTAAGGGGAGACGTAGAAGTAGATGCGCCAGTTGGGGCTGTCGGCGCCGGTGGTGTCGGAGACGACGCGGTGGAGCTCGGCCCCGGCGAGCCGGGCCTGTGCCAGGCCCTCTTGGGTGAGTGGGATTTTGTTGTCGGGGGTGGTGGTGTAGGCGGCGTGATCGAGATTCCCTTCGGACTCGCCATGCCGCATTAGGATTATCCGCTTCGGTAGAACTGGCTGTAATCTCCTCTTGCAATTTTGTTGCTGCATTTTAAGACCTCTCCTCTCTCCCCTCTCTCTCGTTCTAAGATTTTCAGTACGGAAATTGGAACTGGAAAATCAGAATTTCAAATGATGGAGTGCGACAATGTTGGCCTCTGGTTTTTCACTTCCATAATTTATGGACTCTCCCTGTTCTTTTAACACTACTTTTTTCGTATTCTTTGAAAAAGGTAATAGTCCATAGTTTCGTCACGATAAATTTTTTTTTTAGGATAAGAAAGACTTACATAAGTATTTTAGTTCTATTAATTATTATTGTGTGATTTATCAGCGTTAAGAAATAACACTCATAACATGTAGTATGAAATACATATTTGAAATTCGTTGTTAATCACTGAACCGGCTATAATAGTTTAGTTCTTTTAAAATCACTCTCATATAACTTTTTTTAATATATATTTTTTAAAAGTATTATAACAAACAAAAAGAGAATGTGTATTTTGTGAAAATGGTGACCCACTACTTTGGGTCGACTACCAACGCAACACTTAAGTATTAAACGTGTCGGTTCAGACCACCACCGGTCCACCATACCCAGTGTCGCATCCGACGGCGACGAATAAAAGAGAAAATGGAAAAACACAATGGAGACGCGGGGAATCGAACCCCGTGCCTCTCGCATGCGAAGCGAGCGCTCTACCATATGAGCTACGTCCCCGATGTTGTTTAATTGAACCAAGTACATTTATTTAAGCAGGAAAAGAGATGATGTTAGCTTGTACCTTTCTATTCATTCTATAAAAGCGCAATGGTTAACTATAATTTATATCAATTAGAGGCCGTTGGCTAATCATTTTGTCTTCAATTTTCAAATTTTGAAAAAAATAAAAAATGAAAACGAAAATGTGAAGACTCAACGCTAAATTTTGAAAACTCAAGGAAATAGTTTTCAGTTTTTATTTTTTTGAAAACTGAAAATAGTTATCAAACAAGATTTTAGTTTTCAAGAAAGTTAAAACAAAAAATGAAAAATGAAAGCAAAATGATTAACAAATTGCCCATTAATTTGTTATTATCATTTTTTTACCCAATCACATCCACACAACACAACAATATTGAATTGACAGGCTCTTAGGGGATGTTATGTTCCTACATATATAGTATAGAGATAATGTACAACTCTTAGTGTTTTCTTAAGAAACTAACAAGGGACAAATATTTGAACAATCGTAAATCCAACGGCTAATACTCCAATAATTCTCATCCACAAACCCAATAAATTTAATCTTACTCATTGATGTCTTCAGTGCTCAAAATTTATCCCTTGGGCGAGCACTACCTGATATTAACTTTCTTCTTTAGTCAGTGGATTCATGATAGTTTTTTTCAAAAATAAAAGTCGATCTGAATAGATTTCGAAGCTCGTAAAATATTAGTAGAAGTGAGGAAAGACATGAATGTCGATATGTCCGAGTGGTTAAGGAGACAGACTTGAAATCTGTTGGGCTTCGCCCGCGCAGGTTCGAACCCTGCTGTCGACGTTTATTTTATTTCATTTTTTTCTCCTTTAATTAACTTTTAGTTCCACTGATTTTTTGTTTGTTTAATTATTTATCAAGGGGCACACACCCCATTTTACTTCTCACACACCTTTTTAATTTTCGGCTTTCGGATCGGATGAATTGAAGAAGATCAACACACCCCTTTATCAATTCCTTTGGCAAATAACATAACTGAAATCTACTTGCTAACCAGTTGAATATGCTGTAACAAATTAAGAACGGCAATAATTAAAGAACTTATAAATTAAATTGTTATTAAGGCTCGTTCATAATCATCATTTTTGTTTTGTTTTAAGTTTTGTGTTAGAAAGGACGGGAAATACATTGGAAGAAATAAAAGATACAGAAGCGTGAAGTAAGGATATAGTTGAAGAGATGCAGAAGCAATGCACAAACAAAGACACGCAAAATGAAAACTAAAAATCAAAAGACGTTGTAAGTTGTTTTTACTATCAAATTATATTTTTATCCTCTCATCACCTTTCTTAATCCTTTTTTCTCCAATATATATACATCTATTTCAAACAAATAAAAATAAAAATAGACCGAAAAAAATAGAATAATTATCAAACGATCACTACTATAAGTATGTATAGATTTTAGTCAATAATATATCATTGATGTATATGTCTCTTACGATGCTGTTATCATATTGTAGCTGGCAATGACTTTTTTGTTGGTCGAAGTCTTCCCACCTTTTAATGGTAGCAGACTAGCAGTCAACAACATACCCAGAAAACCCTAACCCTTTTAATTTCGTTCCTTTATATTTATTTGTCTTTAATCTGTACGTTACCTCGCAACAAGTCCCTCTCAATCCCTTTCTCTCCAGTTGACTGGTGGTGATAACAATATTATTAGCTCAAGCTTATCTATATAGTAGTGTTGACCCTAAAAACTATCAAGCCTACGTGGTACGCAAGCCGAGTAATTAGTAAGCTAACTACGTTCTTCGGTTGTATGCGGGGCGTGCCAACTCGTCTGCCGAGCTCGGGCGAGGAGTAAAATGTGTTGATGTTGCGTTGAACTAGCGCGCGGCTGACTTCTTGATCTCGCAACTGTGGCCGATGAAGGAACACATCTCGGCCTTCAGGTTCTAGAGCTTGAAGACAAAGCTACTAGTTCTGCGAAGTTCACAAATCGTCGGTGCCGGATTCGGTCACGGTGATTATATTCGTGAGAGTATAAGCACGCCGAATCGACACCAAAGTATAGGGACATAAATACTCAAAACAAATGTATGTCTTGATTGTGAAAGTGGTTCGGCCGTCAGAATGCCGAACTCTAAAATCTACTTGCGAATAACCAATCATAAACGACTTGGCATTCAATGTGCCGAGTATAGTAACTTGCAACACCTCGTTTCGCTGAAAAGGCTAACGAGATGACCTCTGCCGATAAGGATTCAAAAATCCTCCTCGACCGAGACTTGGATAGATAACTAGTCGACCTTGTCGCAGTGCTGTTTATCCAAACTGATGTTGCTCCTCGGTCGGTTGATTCTACGGCAACAGTGCTGTTTATCCAAACTGAAGATGTGTTGGCGAAAAAGGAAAATAAAAAATCTCAAGATGTTTGAAAGGTTTCTCATAGAGCGAGGGTTTGCGCAAGGCAGTTTGTGTATAGAATTAAAGGGGTCTGTTTCGATGTCTTCCCTCCTTATTTATAGCAGCCAACCTGTATTGAATCCCAATCACTCCCGAATTAAAACTCCTTCTCATGATCCAACTTTATCTCGGCCAATCCTATTCTTACCAGGACTTTGAACATAACTCGTTATCAGACCATATTCAATCCCAGCATCCTGATCTCGTTGAAACTTCTTCTCTTAACAGGATTCGTCCACATTCTCAATTTCCGATAGGATATGGCCAACTTCGACTGCGCGGCCCATGGGCTGAATATCTCCCAATGACACTTGCACATAACTTCTAGGCCGAGAAGGATTCTAAACTCGGCCTATCTAACAATGGCCGAGAAAGATCTAAACTCGGCCCAAAACAATATTTTTGGGCCCAAACAAGTAGTAACTATGAACTACTTGTCACCCAAATCATATGGCCAACATTCTAATCATATATATAATTGACTTATGCATGCACATATCTTAACTTCAACACGAATCCCATGAAGCCCATGAGTGGTTAGGTAGCTTTTTTAGTGAATTAACTAGCTAGCCAGCCAAACTTCAACACGTGTGCAACATATAATTACCAAATTTCAAGAGATCCAATATTTTCCATTCATTTTGTACTTTACTTCTCTGTGACTTGAATGGCTGATTAATACGTGTTAAAATTATAGTTACAAAATTAAGAAAAGTTAAGTTTATTAAAATGTGTCAATCAATAAAATGACCACAGAGAAGCCAACACAAAGTGAGTGCTGAAGATCTGATCTCAAATTCTAAACGACCAACATGGTATTAGACTGGTGCATGTCAGTACTGATGATCAATTTAAGTGCCTCAATTAATCAGTGAACATCAAAATTTTAAGCCATCTTATCAAATTCCATATAATATATATTTTTTGAAAGAAATATCTGCATGAAAAGATAGTCAAGTGTGGATATTTGAAATTATTGCTATGTACAAAATAGGACGGATAATATAATATAGGATGATGTATATATCATGTATGTGAAAGAAAATAGGATTTTTTTTTTAAATGTATCAGAACATGGTTTGATATATCAAGTGTTACAATAATTAATTAAATACTTCACAAAAAGAGTTCAACTAATTGCTTGTGACACTTAATGTACCGTACTATGTTCCACGTGTAATGAAAAATTTCTCCAAAAACAGTAGAACTAACATCAACTGACCTCATTAATGGTACTTAAAAAACCAGAAACAAGTAGCAAATTACACTGCATAATAACATGTGTGTAAAACAGAAACTTCCTGAATTTGGGAAACGCAAAGTGATATCTGTGCATGTGTGTTTCTTTGCTAGCGCCTGCATGCACTGCATAATAACATGCATAATAATGTAGCCTGTAGTTATTTTTTGTTTGTTATTTCCTGCCTTCTGGGTCTGCGTTTCCAGAGCCCTTCATCTGCAGAGCCTGCCTGCTGTCAACGGCAGAGATTTGACACCGTCTTCAAATTAAATTGGCAGAAAACTGTTGAGACACGTCAACCATGCAATTTATATTTCGCTGACACTCACAACAGTACTAATGCTAATTAACCAACTTAATCAGCACGTACATAAGATGATTTACACTCGACCGGGAGGCATACATGACACCTAGCTTCCTAATTGCTAATTCCCTCACTACAATTAGTTTTTTTTTTTTTTTTTGACAAACAATAAGAAATCTATGATAAATTCATCTAAACTTTACAATGAGTAAATTCGAACTTAATACAGAGAAAGAGCAATCTGCTTTAATCAGTTTTGGCTAAGCCAAAATGTACCCTCTCTACCATTAATTAATTAAGTTGGCCCTTTTAACCCTAATTTCGAGAAAATGCCCTAATTAACTACACGTACACTTGTCTCCGTCTCAACGCTGCCACTTGAACATCATGCCATGTTCTCCTGATCTGCTAGCCAAGTGATGAGATCATGCTATCATCACCTGGTTGTCACGCAATGCTGCTGCTGGCTCCACACAGGCAAGTTGCCGTCGTGGTGGTGGTGGTGATGGACATGGTGGTGGTTCACCAGATTTTGACACCGCCGAAACCCTTCTGCTCCTCCCTTCAGCCACTCTCCACCACTGTCTTCCTCTTTCTCCTCCTCCTTCTCCTCCTCCTCAATAATTTCCTCCTCATCATCAAGAAATGCTTTTTCTTCTCCTTGTACTTCTTCTATGCCTTCTAATATTGGTTCTTCATCTTCTTGAATGTGAGGTTCGTGGCTAACAAGAAGCAATCTCAACCGTCCATCTTCACGATAAGCTCTAAAAATCTCAGGCCTATAAATCCTTACCTCCGTAAGCTCCAACCTCCCATCTTTCCTCTCAGGCCTCAGATAATACCTAGGGTGTCCATTTTGATTCAACGATGAAAGCGGTGGAGGAAACTTCTTGGGCTCCACTCTCCTCTTCCCCATCTTCGTCCATTTCGGCTCTCTCTTCATCGAGTGCCTCATCATCCTCAAACATGCATCCTCCTCGACACCATCTTGATCATTCTCATTAGCCTTCTCATGAACATGGCTAATTCTTTCAATGATCTGATGATCGTCCACCAGCCTCTCGTTTGAACTTTCAAACCCTAGACTCTCCGTGCACGACGTCAAGCCGTCCACGCCGCCTCCTATGTCGTCTATGAACCCAAACCCACCTGGATCTTTCTTTTTTCCAAATTCAAACACCACCGGCGACAAAGCTGGTGTTGATGAATCTGATGGTGATGACGAGGAGGAGGCTGCGGACGAGGAGGATTTGATGGATGAAGATTCCAAAACAAGGGGTTGGCTTTTTTTGTGATCGTTTTCGGTTGCAGCAACCAAACCTAGTAAACCTCCTCCTCCTGATCTTGTAGAACTTAAAGGAGAAATGTAATGGTGACATTTTAATGGGAGCTTTTCATGACCATCAATGGAGGTTGTTGTTGTGGCGGTGGTAGTAGTTTTTGTGGTGAGGCCAAGGATAGAGTGAGGAGTGATCTTTTTACAAAAGCTAATCATCATAATTGGATTTAAAACAATTATAATATTACTAAACTTATTATTTTTATATAGATTCAATAGAGAAATGAATAGAAGCATGAGGAGGAGGAGGAGGAGGAGAGGACAGCAGTAGTAGTAGCACATAGAAAGGAAACAAGAAGAAAAAATAGCGTTCGATTTTGTAATTCGCAAAGGAAAAATGGGGAGGAAAGAGAGGAGTGGGAATGATATTAAAATATAGACCTCTCGACAAAGATAGGGCAACCAAATGCATGATGGTAGAAAGAGAAAGAGAGTATAGTGGGTGGTACTAGTGGGAAGAATGGTGAAGAAAGTGCCAGCGTGGCAAAAGAAAAAAAAATGGAGATCCTTTCTGGATTTCTTAGTTCACGGATCTAAAATCTGATTCGTTTAAAGGAAAGAAAGAAATATGAACTTTTAATTATGTAAAGTGAATGAGTTGAATCGATTAATAAAGATCGTAAAATTTTTAAATAAATGATTCGGATTCTATGTTCGCCGATTCCGAACATAGAAATCCGAAGACGATGCCAATTATAAAAAAGAAAGTATAAAAGGTGGTGATAGAAAGAAAAGAGAAATTATATGAGCTGTAGTGATGGAGAGTAGGGAGCAAAGGATGCTGGGTCCCACGTAAGATGGCCTCGGACATCTGCCTTTATATTCCACTAGCGTTCATAAGCAATCCTCATCACCGATAGATTTTTAGATGTGACAAACACATATGATATATCACGTGTTTTTATAAAAATTGTAAAATTTTTTATTTTTTTAAGTTATTAACTTTTTAACACATATATCATACTATTTATATAACGACACGTGATGTACCATCTCGTGTAACGATCACCATCTTCTCTTCACAATTACTTGTTTTTTAGAATTCACAAATTAAATGATGTATCATTAATAATAAATAAGTACGAATTTAATTATTAACTTCTATGTCATTAGTTTATAAAATTTTGCATACGAATTTAGTTTTCTTCGCAGTACCTGTGTTTCTCTGTTCTTTCCTTCAATTTCTATTATAGTTTTTTTTTTTCGTTTTATACAGATTCTACCTTTAACACTGGAATCAAGTTCAGTATAAAGTTAAAGATGATCGGAATCATTCACGCTGTTTATCATCCTTTAAAGTATTTAGAAAAACTTAATTGTTTTGGAAATCATTTAAGTTTAATTACTAGCAAATGATACTCACGCGATGCCGCAGGATTAAAAACTGTATAATGTTTTTTTTGTACAAAGTACTATTTTCATACAAAAAATAATAATTGATTTGTATTTAAATACTATTTACATGCAAAAGATTTAGTAGATAGTTCAAATAGTCAGCTTAATATAAACCATACGGAAGCTGCCTTGCAATATATGATTTGGGTAAATCTAAACAATTGAACTCATACAAAAAAAATAGTAAAAACCTTTTCAATGAAAAATATAAGCAAACCAGGAAAAGGGTTTCACTAAGAACCACTTGATTCGCTGCAAACCAAATTCAATCCCAATTTCCTTCACCAATTGTCTCCTCTAATCCCACCTAACTAGTTATCAACATAAGTTCGTATCCTATATGCCTTGAAATGCTAAACTTACGATTCACACACCTGCAAATTGCAATTCAAAAATCGAAATACAAACATGAATTAGAAAACTACCAAACATAAATCCAAATCTTAGGAAGTTTAAATATTATAAATAAATAAATAAGGAAAAATCCATGATCTATAGACAGCCACTAACAAACATTTGTTCCTTTAAAAAATAGGGAATTTTAACGAAAAGCACGCGGTATTCTTTACTCTAACAAAAAACCACATTTTTACACTAAAAAGTCAAACATGATACTGTTCATTTTACCCTTTATTTTGTCCTTATCATTAAAAGTCAAAGTTTTCAAGCACTTTTCATTAGTTTTTCTCCCAAATTAATTTCAAACGAAATTTGGTGGGGGTCACTTCAAACGAAATATCTACAACCAACATTAATTCCACATCTTTTTTTACCTCCGTAGAAACCCTAACAACTGCCACAAATTGTGATGAAAAAGTTAAAGCATATGGTCAATAGTTCATTGCAGCAAGGCCATATGATTCAGCCTTAGAGAGGAAGAGAACCAACCTGAATAGGCATAAGCAGTTGCATGGAAAATATACAATATGCATAGAATATTTACAGCTCTTTCTTTCGACTGCTTAATGCTTACTACCATATGCAGGACCTGAAAGCTACAAATCAATTATACATATGCCAATGGGCGATACATGAAAATGAAAGAGATCCCTCATTTTCTAGTTTTCGGGTCTTCCTTTTATCTAACCTATGTAGAAATTCATGTACAACATATATTACTGAATTTAACGGCTGAATATGCGGTCAAGAATCCATAAATATGTAGCAAGTGGAATATCTAAGCAACTTAAAATGCATTGATGTATAGTAGGACTCAAAGTGCAGACCACATATCTAAATATTTGGAAGAAATCCTTAAAAGACAGACATGAGCATTTCCTCTGCAAAGGCCTGCCTATTCGAATGAAAAATTCATAGATCAGAGAGAAATCTGATCTATGAACTTAACCCCAGTCAATATATGCCCTACTTTTTACATACAACATTAATGCACTTAAAAACCACTGGTAACATGCTTGAATCTTTCATTGTGCTCACTGACTTATCAAACACAAAACCAATGAGAATAAAAAATAACATTGCATCTGAAGAGCAAGAGGGTCTGCACAACTTCCCAATGTCCATATCGGCATGCTTGCATCAATGCTGTCTTTAAACACATAAATCAAACAACTTAATCAACATTCGCATCAAACACGAAACAACAAATCCGTTGAACATACCTAAAGGAAAATATCGCAGCAGCATTTCCCCATCTATTTTCGCTAAAATGAAATCTGTGGCCTCAACAAACTTAATCATGAAATTAGTTCAATCCCCTCATGAGCTTCAATATTTTCGATAAGAGGGTTTGATTTATGCGACAAAGCGAACCAATCACTAAACTTTCTACCCAGATCAATACCCAAATGCCAAAATTTACTCTAATGGGGATTCAGAAACACAAATTAAAAATTACTGTCTGTCAAACAATCATAATCTAGATGAGAAAAAGCACCAACTTTCGTACCTGCCCGCAGTAATTCCAAGAATTGGCATCAGCTCCATTCTCCAGCAGCAAAGAAACAATCTGAATCAAACCCAGAAAAGAAAACCCACAACAAAAATCGAAAATCCGATCAAAACGAACAATCCCAAGCTAAAAAATTGAAAACAAAAACCAACCCAGAAAAGAAAGGGGGAAGAGAGGACGGACAAAGCAACTTATTCATATGCAGATTATACAGTTTCCCTCAATCCATCTTAAAATGAACTAATATTGAACATGCAATACCTTAATGTATCTCCTGGGAGTGAGAGAAGTTGTTTCCAGGTAACGGAGAGGCCCGATTCGCCGGCGATCGGCAGGAATTGGGCCGCTGGAAAATATGTCTGAAACCTTAACTATTGGTTACACGAAAACAACGACAAAATTGGCGAGAGCTTGACTAAGAAGAGTGAGAGGGATAGGTTGGTAGTGGTTCAGAGGAGTGTAGTGGTCGTTTTACAGTAGTTGTGGTTGGGAGGCTTGGTGAGTTGCGCGCACAACGGAAGAGAGAAGGCAGGAGGAAGAAATGGAGAAACAAATATTTGGCATATATAAACAGTGGCAGACTTGAAATAACAGAAACTAAGAGAGGGTAAAACCGGACCAACACTGTGCTTATGAACAGTGTTTTAAAGCAAAATGGTATATAGTGAATTTATATGTGTGAATGAACTGAAATCAATAACGCACGGAAATCAGTTCATTAACTTATTTTGAAAATCTGATGAGTCAGTCATTCACGATCTCCTACCCTTCCATCTTGATCCAAGGAATTTATAGGAAAATTATCCATCGTCCTCTTAATTCTACATAAACACAATTTCCTAAACTCTAGCATTACCTTTTTATTAAAGTTGAAAAATCAATGAAATCGATTAATTTTCATGCAATGAAATCAATAACGCACTGAAATCAGTTCTTTCACTTATTTTGAAAATACGATTAGTCAGTCATTCACAATTTCCTACCCTTCCACCTTCATCCAATAAATTTGTAGGAAAACTATCCGTCGTCCTCTTAATTCTACATAAACACAATCTTTTTTATGCATTTTCCACCACATTCTCAGTTCTCAATCACTACTTCATAAAAAAAATAAAAAATAAAAAAGAAGAAGAAAACAACTTAGCTAGAATCAATGGCTTCTTTAACCTCTTCTCTCACTTGCGTCCCCTCTGTGAAACTTGCAAACCCTAGGCTGCTGCCCTCCTTTGCTCATTATTCACCTGCCAATTATTCCAAGTCATTGAATCTTCAAAACCCAGTTGATCTCAACTCCATACTTCCTACTCAAATTCTAACAAGATGTCCATGCTGAAAACATCCTCGTTCACTTGCGAAAGCCAGGCCAACCCCTCAACCGAAACTGATGAAAGACCTGGCTCTGAAGTTCCACAAGTACTTCATGTGTATGAGATCAATGAGCGTGACCGTGGCAGCCCGGTCTACCTAAGATTGAGCGGGAAAGAAGTCCACTCCCTTGGCGATCTTGTCCCTTTGACGAACAAGCTGTACACCGGGGACTTGCAAAAACGCATTGGAATCACGGCGGGGATAACCATTTTGATCCAACACTATCCGGAGAAGCTCAATAGTGGAGATCGATACGAGGCTATCTACAGCTTCTACTTTGGAGACTATGGTCACATTTCTGTGCAGGGGCCTTATCTGACTTATGAGGACACCTATTTGTCTGTGAAAGGAGGGTCTGGAATTTTCGAAGGTGTCTATGGTCAAGTGAAGTTGCAGCAGCTTGTGTACCCTTTTAAACTTTTCTACACATTTTATCTCAAGGGTATTTGCAAGAACTTGCCTGAAGAGCTACTTGGGAAGCCTGTGGAGCCTACTCCTGATGTGGAGCCTACTCCAGCTGCTAGGGCTTGTGAGCCTCATGCCACCATTGCTGGTTTCAATGATTGAAAGATGATGTTGATTTCTTGATTTTACTAGATTTGGTGGTGGCACTGGCAGTGGATCTAATTATCTAATTACATGTTTTTATACCAATTTTATCCTTTTAAAAAAAACATATAATACAAATAATTTGTGTTATAGGTAGATTATGAACAAAAACCTATTATATAGGTAGATAACAATTAAACATGTGATACAGGAATATAATAAAAAATTCTAACAAAAAAAAGAAGATAGGTTTCAAATCCTTGTAAGTTATGACTACTCGGTTTAAGCATTGCATTGGCAACATGCTCTAATACCATTAAAAAGTTGAGGTTTCATAGTAAAACCAATTAACAATAAAGAGAATAGCCTAATATCTTACAAGTCTTTGTATTAACTTGTCCCTCACCGATGTGTGGGACAAATTGTCCTCACATCACCGACTCTCAACAAAATGTGCATGTAATTACTGTTACTAACACTACAATGCCTGGGAACCATATCTCCGCATCCGATCCCTCTACAAGTAGTCGGAAAGATTGTGAACAAGAAACTCGACAAATTCCCAGCTCCGAGTGGCAAATTCATGGTTAGTTCACTGATTCCCAGTTCAGAAAAGGAGCTTTGCACACTGGAGTTGCTGAGTTCAAAGACCAAGAACACAAGCAGTGACATAAAGGCGTGAACAAAATCTATGAACTTTATTCTATGCTTCTTCAAGTCCCTATCCATGTCCTCGGTGTTACTGCAGTTGAAAATGTACATGCCTTTGAATGTAGCGATTCCATAGTAGATTTTTCGGTAGTTGTCCATGAAGCTATCGGTAAACGAAGATAAGAAACAAAGGAGAGCACAAAATTTAGTGATACATGATGTGAGGTACACATTGGTAATTGGTAAGAACCATTGTTGGAGAAAGTAGGAATAAGGGTGTGAAATGCAAGGATTGTGCCGGTTGGTAAAAGGTTATCGAGATTGGCCGCACTGGCTAGGGTTTGGTGGATAGGGTGGTTTGAGCTGTGCTTAAGAATCTTGGGAGGGGAAGGCGGTGAGCGTGGTTGCTCGGAAGATGGTACCTCAGCCATGGAGAGAAAGAAGAAGGGAGTTCAGGTTATATTAATTCGCTTTCCGTTGGAGATGGTAAAGGGCAATGCTTTATAGGAAATGAGGACATTAGAGTTTAGGGTGTAAATCATGTGGACTCTGTTTTGAGAGAGGGATAGCGTCAGGGACTCCAAAAATGGCCTAATTTCTATGCCATAAGAAACATAATGACATGTGATTTATGCAGCCATTTGCTAGCTAGGTACCTAATATGACCAGAAAATTAACTCATATGCAAGATGTTTGAAAGAATGCATTCCTACATCGGAAGCTTGGTAGAATAAATTACAACGTATATTGATTTGTTTCACTTCAACTCAATACTTGTCGGGTTGTTATCAGTGTGATTAGTAGTGGCCGTTGGCCCAACTCTGAAATCTTGAAACTAGCTAGTTACTTACCTTTTGAGAGTTGTGCACCGTCAACCTTCATCAGTGATGATTTATAGGTCATTCTGTCTAACTTGAAGTAACTAAAAAACTTTTCCATTCCGGTTCCATACAGATTAATAAACAACTTTAAACATAAATCTGATTTGGCCTCCTCCTCAATCCAACTCTTTCTCAAGTCAATTACTCCAATCTCGATTACGGATTAGTAAACATGCTATTAATGTATTATATATTGCTAATCTTTAGGAATTAGAACTACATACAACATTGAACATTGGGAGATGCTACTCCTTCGTGTGTTACAGGCAGCATTTAGTCTATAACCGTGGACCAATGAAAAAATACACTATTTTTCGAAGGTGCTAATCAACAACTGGTTTAATACAAAGAAAATGAAATTAGTCTCATGGATCGGAGCTACTGTAGAACCTTGAATTGCAAAGCTCTGCTGACATTCAGAACATGCTGCCTTCTGCAATGCTGCAATGCGCAATCAATCATGGATAAAACCACATCTGGAAATGGATTGACAATGTCACAATGCAGGCGCACCGTTTATCTAATTTTCTGAAAATCGGTTCAATGATGTTTGAATTTCTTCCAGCGTTCGCCCCTTTGTCTCCGGTACCAGCTTTGCAACAAACAGAACGGTTACAGCAGATACGCTAGAAAACAAGAAAAAAGTTCCTGAAACAGAAAAATAATATCAAATGTGTAAGAGGGAGTCTTGCTCAAATCCAGACAGAAATAGGAAGCACAAATTTTGTGGCATTACCTGCGGAGCTCCAATCCATTAGGAAATTAAAAGTGTATGAGACTATCCAAGAACCTAACCAGCTAACCAATGTTATTAGGCTACCGGCTGACCCCTTCATGTTTATGGGAAATATCTGAAATCGAAATTAGGCTAAATTAGTTAGAAATGCGGTATATCAAAATGTATGAGACTGAACTGAATTTCGAACATTTCCATCAATATTGTTGAGGTCATGCTTGTTGAGTATAGCCTACCTCTGACATTATAACCCAAGGAATGCCTCCCATGCCCAACGAGAACGATCCAGTAAATACCTGATTGTAGATTTCAAATAGGTTGACCCATACTGTGAGTCTGTTGCCTATTGGCTTATATCAAAAAGAAAAACAAGTTCTGAGATTCAAGTTAAGTCGGATTTACCAAAACGCCAACAAGTGCCAAAATGGGAGTAATCTGCTTCCACTGTTGAAGGTTCTACACAGGGTAAACTTCCTTCTTTCAAGGCAATTTACAAATGACAATATGAAACTGAAAGAGGATTAGATTTTGTTCAAGAGTAAACCTGCAACGAGAATGACAACCCGACAAGGAGGCAACCTAAGCATGTTCCTGCTGAAGATACCTATAAGAAATACGAATTATGAGACTTCAGCATTGGATTTTAATTTGATGCCAAAATTACACCAGAATTCTCAATCTTTTCAGTTCATACCAGAAGAAGAGGACGCCGTCCAGCTTTGTCCATCAAAATTACACCCAATGCTGTCATTGGAACCTGCGGAAGACAAATTAGAATTATGAATCTGAATTCTGAAGAAACAATCAGGAAACCAAGAACTGAGCTAAGATAATGAAGCACCTGAACTGCAACCATAGCTATAGTCCCAACACTATCGGAAAATCCTGTCATAAGCCATAGATTTACTTCGTTTATCATCTGTTTTCTTTTGGAAATTATTAGATACACAAAAGAAGCTCGCAAAGAAGGCTTTTTGACATACCAGCTGAAATGAATATAGTACTTGCATAGAAGGCAATGCCATTGACCCCTCCGAATTGTTGTAGTACCATAAGCCCAACTCCTACCTAGGGAATTTACAAATTATGAAAGATAACAAAAAGAAAGGAAGCGTGTCATAGCAGGGATTAGCTTAGAAGCTCACAATGAGGGAATAAGCGTATCTCCTTTGAAATAAGTCAAGAATTCTCGCTTCTGAAAGCCGTTTCAGAGTTTCTGTATAATCCTATAAAAGAAACAAACATATATCAGTCCTTTTTCCATGCTACCTTCTTGACAGTAAATATATTCAGCAATACTCGAAATATATGTTGTTTCTAGTTAAATCGAAACAAAAGAGATGTAATTCAAAACTTACTCTAATCTCAGCTACTTCTTGAGAAGTATTGGAATTCTCCCCCCTAAGGCGCTGAAGAGCGGCTTCACACTCTTTCCATTTACCGATCTTTGCCTGAAAATGGTCTCACAAGCAGAACATGTCAAAGGATCCTCAACTTTTCCATATCGTCTCCAAAGAAAATGATGCATGTGTATAACATTTCTGGTGACACAATTAAATAATTGACTCACCAGCCATCTAGGAGACTCTGGAATGAAGAAGAGACCTAAAATCTGTATAACACACGGAATAGTCCCTGAAATTTAGACGAAAGAAACCTCTGTCAAATACTTCAGATTATGTTTCTCCCAGATGTCATTTTCAATTCTACTGCAAGGTACAGTTTGCGGTAATCCTATATTACAACATAGAGGAAGAGAAAGCTACCGAGGAGAGCCAAAGCTCGCCAGTTCAAAAAAGCCCCGATAAGATATGTCAGCGACACACCACAGCATATCATCAACTGTAAAATCAGTGGTGACTGGTGAGCAGGTGAACAAACAATCAGCTGGTTTCCAAATTTTTTAAATTTACCTGATGAACAGTTGTAAATCCTCCCCGCAGATCCTTCGGCGTTATTTCTGCTATGTATATAGGCACCTGTTTGTTATCAAATCATAAACAATTTTACGCAGAACTTCAACAAAAATCTTACATGAGTTCTGTATGCAATTGCAATCCTCACAAAAATTACCACATAAGAAAGAAGCCCCATTCCACATCCAACCAACAGTCTTCCAAGTTCCGCCCACCAAGCAACCTTTCGAGAAGAACATAACTTAAAAAACATGAGCTAAACAAAAAGTTCCACTCTTTCGAATATAAAGAACAAGTAACGAGAGATGGCCGAAAGGATGCGAAACCTTAGAGAAAGCTATTGCTAGCCATCCCAAAATGCAGAATATCTCGGAAAATGCCATTGCCTGCTTCGTCAAAACAAACCCGAATCAAGCAAAATTGAAGAGATTAGAACTTGGTCCGGAGTTAAAATGTTACAATATTACTTGAAATGAGAAAAGTTGAATGGAAGGAAGAAACTTACACCTCTTCGGCCTATATAATCTGCTATTCTTCCACTCACTACTGCTCCTATCATTGCTCCGATTGTCAATATTGAACCAAAAACCGAGTACTGCGAAATGGACAGCGACCATAAGACACATACATTCACAGACACACACACATGCTCCATCCATATTAATAGAAAAATTATGCAAACCTGAGCTACAGTGAGGCCCAGATCATTCATGACCCCAGACCGAGCCGGTGAGGAATATCCCACCTGCAAATCAATCGTACGCCATTCGAAATCGATTAGGAATCCAATCAAACGGCTAGTACTATTCCATAGAGACACCAAGATATTTATCTTGCAACACAACAATTGATTACCAAAATATTTAGAAAAACAAAACGCGTACACAACAGAAAATATTTAGTTTCCTCAAACCCAAAAGTTTCTAATCAAATTTAAAGATTTAAGAACATGAAACTTATCTACGTTAGAGATGTCACTGTGACAGTATTCTAAAATAATTATTATTATGCATCTAACTTTTTCACATGTCTAATTGGCTTGAGATATTGTCACCGTAACATCTCTATCTAATTGATGGTATTCCAAAATAATCTTCCGCTATCATGTGTCAAAATACTCATGCTATACTTACCGCAGACCAAAAACATAGGAGCCAGAGACAGCAACCAGAGTGCTGACCACAACCATAATCGTGGCTGATGAGCTACTTTCACCTCCTTCTTCATAACTAGCACCACCGTTGCCACTGCAGCCACCGCTGCCGCCGCCGCCACTATGGAGCTTAGATGTAGTATTTTTGACGAGCAAAGGATTTGAGAGTTCTCCTTCTTCTATGTTTTCTCTGCTCATTTTTTAGTACTCCTTCGAAGACAAAGGAATCATATGAAACTCAGAATAATTGCGTTGAAGTATATCTATAACAAACAAGGGAAAGAGTGAGAGACATGTGGAAGTGTTTGTCGTATTGTTAAAGCTGCTTTCCATGCAACGGTGTCAAAGTTGTCGTTTTCTAATTTATCAACACTTATTGATCAAACATCGTCAGCGAGACACTGACCAAGTTGGAGACCATCCATCCTCTCTGTGTAATAATTCGTGGGAATTGTTTGGGTGTCATGGCTTATGTATTTTGAGTCCGGTTCTCTAGATCTCAGGGTCCGAGGAAATTTTGATCATTTACTGTTTGATACAATTCAATACAACAACAACAACAACAACAATAAAGCCTTTTCCCACTAAGTGGGGTCGGCTATATGAATCCTAGAACGCCATTGCGCTCGGTTTTGTGTCATGTCCTCCGTTAGATCCAAGTACTCTAAGTCTTTTCTTAGGGTCTCTTCCAAAGTTTTCCTAGGTCTTCCTCTACCCCTTCGGCCCCGAACCTCTGTTCCGTAGTCACATCTTCGAACCGGAGCGTCAGTAGGCCTTCTTTGCACATGTCCAAACCATCGTAACCGATTTTCTCTCATCTTTCCTTCAACTTCGGCTACTCCTACTTTACCTCGGATATCCTCATTCACAATCTTCTCCTTTCTCGTGTGCCCACACATCCCACGAAGCATCCTTATCTCCGCTACACCCATTTTGTGTACGTGTTGATGCTTCACCGCCCAACATTCTGTGCCATACAACATCGCTGGCCTTATTGCCGTCCTATAAAATTTTCCCTTGAGCTTCAGTGGACCTACGACGGTCACACAACACGCCGGATGCACTCTTACACTTCATCCATCCAGCTTGTATTCTATGGTTGAGATCTCCATCTAATTCTCCGTTCTCTTGCAAGATAGATCCTAGGTAGCGAAAACGGTCGCTTTTTGTGATCGTCGCTAGATTGCTCCGGTCATTAGTGTGGATAAGTATATAAATGGATAGAGATAGGAAAGCAAACACCAGATGTACGTGGTTCACCCATATTGGCTACGTCCACGAAATAGAGGAGTTCTCATTAATTGTGAAGGGTTTACACAAGTACATAGGTTCAAGCTCTCTTTTAGTGAGTACAAGTGAATGATTTAGTACAAATGACATTAGGAAATATTTTGGGAGAATGATCTCGTAATCACGAAACTTCTAAGTTCCGGAATGTGGTATCGTCTTGACTTGCCTTATCTGTCTCATAGGTAGATGTGGCATCTTCTCTTGGAAGTACTCTTCCTCCATCCAGGGGTGGTATCTTTAACTGGTGGAGATGCACAAGGTAATGTATCAATTTCACTTGAAGCTTACTTGTAGTTTCAGGCTTGGTCAAGCGCGATACACAAACCATATAGTAGGAGTCCCCAAGTCGCCGAGCTAGGGGATCTGCTGAAAGAGGTGACAGACAAGGTAAGCAATCAGAGCTTCCTAAGCAATCAGTCCCAGATCAGAACTTTGATTTCGAGTTCCGGCTGATTGTTCACATTCTCCCTATCTTTGCAGGCAGCATGAAGGATAAAGAGAAGAAAAATGAGAAGAGATGATATGGGATACTTTTGCTTTTGAAGAAGTAACTTTCCACAGGCTTATTCTTGAACTGGGCTGGAGGGTTTTTCTGGTTTCCTCCAGAGTATAAGGCCGACTAAAGAATTTGAGGGTCAAAAACAAGTCCATCAAATCTAGAGTACGTTCGACCCTGCTGATATGGGATACTTTTGCTTTTGACAGAGTAGTGGATGTATCGGCACATGTGCTGTTACGTTTGTCTCCACATGCTTCCTTGTATCCTTCTCACTTGCCCTATATGTTCCTCAGGCAGATGCGGTATCTTCCCTGGAAGCATAAGATGTTGAAGATGAGTACTCGAGAGCAATGCCAGGTAAGTAATCAAGTAAGGGGTTCCAGGCAGTCAGTTCCTGACTGGAAGCTTGATTCCAAGTGCTGACTGATTGCTCTCTTTCTCCTTGTCTTGCAGGTAAGAAACAAGGCCAAAGGAAAAGACAGGGAAAAAACATGATATGGGATACTCTTGCTTTTAACCCTGATGATATGAGATATTCTTGCTCTAGTATAGCTTGTTTGCAGAGGTATTATCGGGGGGAAAGAAAGCTGAAATATTTCGAAAGGCTTCGTTGGGAGTGCCCTCTCAGATATGAGGAAGGGTTGAGCATTTTTGCAGGTCTGCCTGTCCGTTGGGGATGGAGGTCAACATATATAGGAGTCTCTCCCTAATAACAAGTAGTAATGCTATTCCTTTACCCTGCTTGGTCATAGCACGGTAGTGGGAGCTGCCAGCTTCACATGTTTTTAACTCTGTCAGAGCACTTTGAAAAAGTGGTCTGTGGTATCTGGAAAGCTGATGTTGCGTGTAAAGATTACAGACAAGCTTTATCCAAGGAGATCCGGCTCTTGAAGTTGGGAAAGTGGTGCCTCTTCGGTTTTCGAACAAGCAATCCTGTCGGAGATCTGGCTCTCGAGATTCGGAAAACGATGCCTTTTCGATTTTTGAGAAAGCAATCCTGCTAGGGGTCTGGCTCTCGAGATTCGGAGAGCGGTGTCTCTTCGATTTTTGAGAAAGTAATCATGTTGGGAGTCTGGCTCTCGAGATTCGGAGGGCGGTGCCTCTTCGATTTTGGAGCAAGCAATCTTGTTGGGAGTGTTTTCTCGAATGTGAGAAAAGGTTGGGCATGTTTGCTAGTCTATCTTGCCACGAAGCACAGAGGTTGACACACAGAGACTTTCCAATTATCCAGCAGTGGTACTGTTCCTTTACCCTTGTGGGTAATAATATGGTAGCTGGACCTTCAAAATTTATGTGTCTAAACTTTGTTAGTGCTGTTTCTTTGCTATTCTTTTACCCTTCTTGGTCAGAGCGGTGTAGTGGGAGCTGCAAGCTTCACGTGTCTCAACTTTGTCAGAGAACTTTGGCAAAGTTATTTGTGGTACCCATGAGCTAATGTTGTGTGTGGGAAGTGGGTGATTGAACAGTAAGATTCATGTGCTTTCTACTTCACCAGAAATCTTCGACATAATGCCCATAATTTCCGCAAAGCTGAGTGTGCTGACAGGTGCTGACAAGGCTGGAAAAGTAGGTGCCTCTTCGATTTCTGAGATCGGCCCTCGTGGTCTCTGAGCAGCCCAGCTTTTGAGAAAGCAAGCGCCTCTTCGATTTCTGAGATCGGCCTTCGTGGTCTTTGAGCAGCCCAACTTTTGAGAAAGCAAACGTCTCGTGGTCTCTGAGCAAGCCCAGCTTTTGAGAAAGCAAACGCCTCTTCGATTTCTGAAGCTCCGTCGAGTGCAGATTTTTATAGAGGCTGGACATTAAGTTCCAAAGCACACTTGAATCTCCACCAGTAGAAGCTCCATTCTTGCACTTCTAAGATCTTGATTTGTCCGACCTCTCTTCTCTCTTCAACACCTTTGAAAATGTCTGGCCCCTCCGACCGTCGTTTTGACTTGAACCTTGTTGAAGAGGCAGCCACGCCTTCTCCAGACAACATATGGCGCCCATCCTTCGTCTCCCCTACTGGTCCTCTTACCGTTGGGGATTCCGTGATGAAGAATGATATGACCGCTGCGGTAGTGGCCAGGAACCTTCTCACTCCCAAAGATAACAGACTACTTTCCAAACGGTCTGATGAGTTGGCTGTTAAGGATTCTCTGGCTCTCAGTGTTCAGTGTGCAGGTTCTGTGTCTAATATGGCCCAACGCCTATTTGCTCGAACCCGCCAAGTTGAATCATTGGCGGCTGAAGTGATGAGTCTCAAACAGGAGATTAGAGGGCTCAAGCATGAGAATAAACAGTTGCACCGGCTCGCACATGACTATGCTACAAACATGAAGAGGAAGCTTGACCAGATGAAGGAATCTGATGGTCAGGTTTTACTTGATCATCAGAGATTTGTGGGTTTGTTCCAAAGGCATTTATTGCCTTCGTCTTCTAGGGCTGTACCGCGTAATGAAGCTCCAAATGATCAACCTCTGCTGCCTCCTCCTTCTAGGGTTCTGTCCAGTACTGAGGCTCCAAATGATCCCCCATCCAGTGCCTGCTCTTTCTGGGGCTCTACCGACTGCTGAGACTTCTCCTAAGCAACCTTTGTGAAGGCTCCCTCTTGTTTGTTTATTTTGACTCATGTATATATGTACATATTTGTGACTTATCGGGGATATCAATAAATAAGCTTTCCTTCATTTCAACGTATTGTGTTAAATATACACCAAAGCCTTCTTCGCTAAGTTCTCTGAAATTTTTCTTTTGTTGAAGCTTGTATGTTGAAGCTTTGTGAATGGAGCATGTAGGTTGAGGTAGTATTCCCTTAATTTCCCGAGTGAGGAAAACTTCTCGGTTGGAGACTTGGAAAATCCAAGTCACTGAGTGGGATCGGCTATATGAATCTTTGAACGCCATTGTGCTCGATCCTGTGTCATGTCCTCCGTTAGATCCAAGTACTCTAAGTCTTTTCTTAGAGTCTCTTCCAAAGTTTTCCTAAGTCTTCCTCTACCCCTTCGGCCTTGAACCACTGTCCCATAGTCGCATCTTCTAATCGGAGCGTCAGTAGGCCTTCTTTGCACATGTCCAAACCACCGTAACCGATTTTCTCTCATCTTTCCTTCAATTTTGGCTACTCCTACTTTACCCCGGATATCCTCATTCCTAATCTTATCCTTTCTTGTGTGCCCACACATCCAACGAAGCATCCTCATCTCCGCTACACCCATTTTGTGTACGTGTTGATGCTTCACCGCCCAACATTCTGTGCCATACAGCATCGCCGGCCTTATTGCCGTCCTATAAAATTTTCCCTTGAGCTTCAGTGGCATACGGCGGTCACACACAACACGCCGGATGCACTCTTCCACTTCATCCATCCAGCTTGTATTCTATGGTTGAGATCTCCATCTAATTCTCCGTTCTTTTGCAAGATAGATCCTAGGTAACGAAAACGATCGCTCTTTGGTATTTCTTGATCTCCGATCCTCACCCCTAACTCGTTTTGGCCTCCATTTGCACTGAACTTGCACTCCATATATATTCTGTCTTTGATCGGCTTAAGCGAAGACCTTTAGATTCCAACACTTCTCTCCAAAGGTTAAGCTTTGCATTTACCCCTTCCTGAGTTTCATCTATCAACACTATATCGTCTGCGAAAAGCATACACCAAGGAATATCATCTTGAATATGTCCTGTTAACTCATCCATTACCAACGCAAAAAGATAAGGACTTAAGGATGAGCCTTGATGTAATCCTACAGTTATGGGAAAGCTTTCGGTTTGTCCTTCATGAGTTCTTACGGCAGTCTTTTCTCCTTCATACATATCCTTTATAGCTTGGATATATGCTACTCGTACTCCTTTCTTCTCTAAAATCCTCCAAAGAATGTCTCTTGGGACCCTATCATACGCTTTTTCCAAATCTATAAAGACCATGTGTAAATCCTTTTTCCCATCTCTATATCTTTCCATCAATCTTCGTAAGAGATAGATTGCCTCCATGGTTGAGCGCCCTGGCATGAACCCGAATTGGTTGTCCGAAACCCGTGTCTCTTGCCTCAATCTATGCTCAATGACTCTCTCCCAGAGCTTCATTGTATGACTCATTAGCTTAATACCCCTATAGTTCATGCAATTTTGTACGCCGCCCTTATTCTTGTAGATAGGCACCAAAGTGCTCGTTCGCCACTCATTTGGCATCTTCTTCGTTTTCAAAATCCTATTGAAAAGGTCAGTGAGCCATGTTATACATGTCTCTCCCAAAACTTTCCACACTTCGATTGGTATATCGTCTGGGCCTACTGCTTTTCTATGCTTCATCTTCTTCAAAGCTACAACCACTTCTTCCTTCCGGATTCGACGATAAAAATAGTAGTTTCTACACTCTTCTGAGTTACTCAACTCCCCTAAAGAAGCACTCCTTTCATGCCCTTCATTGAAAAGATTATGAAAATAACCTCTCCATCTATCTTTAACTGCGTTCTCTGTAGCAAGAACCTTTCCATCCTCATCCTTGATGCACCTCACTTGGTTTAGGTCCCTTGTCTTCTTTTCCCTTGCTCTAGCTAGTTTATAGATATCCAACTCTCCTTCTTTGGTATCTAGTCGCTTATACATATCGTCATAAGCCGCTAACTTAGCTTCTCTCACAGCTTTCTTCGCCTCTTGCTTCGCTTTTCTATACCTTTCACCATTTTCATCGGTCCTATCCTTGTATAAGGCTTTACAACATTCCTTCTTAGCCTTCACCTTTGTTTTGTACCTCCTCATTCCACCACCAAGATTCCTTTTGGTGTGGGGCAAAGCCCTTGGACTCTCCTAATACCTCTTTTGCTACTTTTCGGATACAACTAGCCATGGAATCCCACATTTGGCTAGCTTCCCCCTCTCTATCCCACACACACTGGGTGATTACTTTCTCTTTGAAAATGACTTGTTTTTCTTCTTTTAGATTCCACCATCTAGTCCTTGGGCACTTCCAAGTCTTGTTCTTTTTTCTCACTCTTTTGATATGTACATCCATCACCAACAAGCGATGTTGATTAGCCACGCTCTCTCCTGGTATAACTTTGCAATCCTTACAAGTTATACGATCCCCTTTCCTCATTAGAAGAAAATCTATTTGTGTTTTTGACGACCCACTCTTGTAGGTGATCACATGTTTTTCTCTCTTCTTAAAGAAGGTGTTGGCTAAGAAGAGATCATATGCCATTGCAAAATCCAAGATAGCTTCCCCATCCTCGTTTCTCTCCCCAAAACCATGGCCACCATGAAAACCTCCATAGTTGCCTGTCTCCCTGCCCACGTGTCCATTTAAATCTCATCCTATAAATAACTTCTCCGTCTGAGCAATTCCTTGCACCAAGTCTCCAAGGTCTTCCCAAAATTTCTCCTTCGAACTCATATCCAACCCTACTTGAGGTGCGTACGCACTAATCACATTGATAAGTTCTTGTCCTATTACAATCTTGATTGCCATGATTCTATCTCCTACCCTCTTGACATCTACAACATCTTGTGTCAAGGTCTTGTCCACGATGATGCCAACACCGTTTCTCGTTCTATTTGTGCCTGAGTACCAAAGTTTAAACCCTGAGTTTTCTAGATCCTTTGCCTTAAGACCAACCCACTTAGTTTCTTGTAGGCACATAATATTTATCCTTCTCCTCACCATAACTTCCACTACTTCCATAGATTTTCCCGTTAAGGTTCCTATATTCCACGTTCCTAAACGCATTCTACTCTCCTGAACTCTACCCTTCTGTCCTAGCTTCTTCACCCTCCCCCGTCCAATGGAATCAAAGTACTTCTTTTGTGTGTCCCGTGTAAAGTTGATAGGTGCATATGCTCCCAAACAACTTTGAGTGGAGTCGTTCGAAAAGAAGTTTTTATGGCCCCCTTGCTCATTTAACACTGCATCCGGGTGCCTATGGAGATATAGCGACCTTTGCTCACTTATCACTGTGCTCGGGCCACACAGCGCGCCACTTACGGGTGACGCCCTAGCTTTAGCGCGATTTCGTTTTGAATTCATTTTCATAAGGATTCGACGTAACTGTGGAGTGCCGGCTGTCGACTACCTGACGCCCTCCCCCTCCTCCTTTACCCGGGCTTGGGACCGGCAATGTAAGATAAACTTACATAGACAGAGTTTTTGATACAATTCAATGATAGAGAAAAAAAATACAAGAAAAATTAAATGATCACTTCCAATCAGTTATCCCCTTTAAAAAAAAGAAAAAGAAAAAAAGACCCCTTACCGTTAAATTAATCGATGATGGTGACCACTATTCCTTTGTACATATGTCTAGGAAAACAAGTGAAAAGGTCATTCTCTTTTTTCTTTTCTAAAGAATTAAAAACAGAAAATATAATAGTAATATTATCACATAATGTTATTAAAATACTTCTTAAAATATAGGTAAATGATAGAGTTGATACCTCATAGATGTAAGATATAATATTATAAAATAGATTCACATACTATAACATGAATAAATTGGTAATACTACGCGACAGTGTAAAATTTACACTAGACCTTCTCCTTAAGAGCAAGTCCACCCCTAAGGATTTTGCGCCAGTACCCAGCCCATTTATCCACTCAAGTGAACAGTAATAGACCCCAGTGAACAGTAATAGGCCAAAACATCTCCACCCCTAAATCCAAATAGCCTAGTCAATTTTATTAAAATATTATTATTTTTTATTATAAAATAATAAAAATAAAAATTTTATTAAAAAAAAAGTTTCAATCAGATGGTAGCATTTGAGAATTCAACAGTTTCAGTCAGACAAAAACACAAACACTTAGACGGTAATTTGAGGAAGCTCGAACTTGAATGGATTACCTTCTTCGGACCTCCGAACCGGGTCCATGTTCTTGAGTTCTTTGCGGATTCTGGATCGGAGCAACCGCTTTTTCCGGAATATAGCTTCGATTGGGTCGTCGATGTCTTGGTTCATGGTGGCGAAGGGGCGGTGAGAATGGGATGCGAGGCGTTCGTTAGCTAGGCGAGAAGGGAAAAGGGTATGAGAAGCTAACGTGCACGGCCGGAATCAACCTCAGCCCCGAGGTGCTCTGCACCAAGAACCCGGAATCAACCTCAGCCTCGAGGAGCTCTGCACCAAGATCTCTCTGTGACGCGTTGATCGTGAGGGAGGTTGATGGTCCGGCCACCGTCAGATGGCCCGACATGTGGGTCTGTCTATTTTAGGCCGATCTCTTGCTTGGCTTGGGCTGGATGTCGGTCAAAATGCTGGGCTGGAGTAGATAGCCTGGGTGCTGGCCTATCAGTTCCCCGGTGGAACTGCTCTAAGATGGTTTTATAAGAATATTCTCTTTTGACTGAAAAAGGACAATTGGCTTCAAATGATCATAAACAAATCTCATTTACTGAACTAATCAAAAGATTAATGAAATGTGCAATAAGGTTCAAAAGACAGCCGCTATTCTGTGCTAGCATGGCTTCTTAGTTCATCTGATTTCACAATGTACAATAGATGCTTGTAGTTCTTCAAGCGTTCTCCCCTTAGTCTCCCTCACAAGTTTTGCAATGGACACAACAGTTAAACTGCAAATGGCCGACAAGACGAAAAACGTTCCTGAAAATTGTGTGATCAATCGTGAGTATGCATGAGAAGAAATGAAGAAAAGAGATGCAAAGAAAAGTCGGGGAGTTGGTTGTTGCTGAGATACCTGCTGATCTCCGATCGATTCCATCATAAAGTTGACGGTAATCCTGCCATGCCGTTGTGTATGATACATAAAAACCCTGACTGCAGTTAATATTAATATTTTTCAATTCATTTGATCTGACAACCATAAAATTGAAAGAGGTATGTTAGAAGTAAAAATGGACGTGTGAATAGCACTACCCTAAACAATAAATGAAGTGCGAAGGTTGTACTTGTATTCATACGCAGAGAATAGAATGTCAATTGGAAAGCTAGCAGCTGGGGCTTCAACTAAACAAACAAAGTTGGCAATTATGTGATAAATAGGTCATTGACAAAATTTGAAGAAGCAAATTACGCTACTAGACCCCTAAAAAGCACTGGTGAGTAATCAAAGAGGTGAAATAGTGTGCAGTTGTACAGTCGAATTGTTGGCACAATGGACATGGTCACAAATTTGGTGAGGACTGCTTTTCGTTCATGGTAGCTGTACAGTTGGTTGAGTTGGCACAATGTACATCGTATTCACGTGCTGGCACTAAATTTAAATGACACATGTGAGATAGTGTGAAGGTGGTTAAGCTTACACAATCACTGGCGGAGGCACCAAGAGACAGAGTAAGATTCTCTCCCCTCTTATTCCTCTTCCATTCTCTTCCCTTCCATTCTCTCACACTTTTTATTTTGTCATTTTCTCTTTATAAAAAAAAATTAATATAAGATATTGACTTGAGTTAATAGTGACCATTCAAATAGAATGGGAGGGAAAGAAAGGGAAAAGAGAGAGGCAAGAATCCTGGGACTATGGTGGTCATGGGCCTATCCTAACCTTAAAAAAGTATAGCTATATATGTGTGTATAACTTGCTCTAAGTCCCTATTGTTCAACACTTCAAATAAATTCAATATCCCTTGTTATGGTCATTTAACTATCACAAATCAAACCTTTAAAATTAAACCCATTATTCACTTTTATTTTTAAAACTAAAAAATCTTGCAACACACCTTAATCTGATCTCTTTCACTGTACAATCCAGAGATTCGGGAGCTATTCCCTATCTCATTCTCGAAACTTCATATTTTTTTTGTCATTCCAAATTTCAAACTCATTCAATTTATCGAACAAAAAAAAAATGACAAATCCATTTAGTAAGTAACAATAAAATTTGTAAATTTCTATTATTGTGTATCATTTTTATTCATTTCTGTTCTATTATACCTCTTATTTGAGTGCTAGGGTTATAATTTTTTTTAATTAATTCTCCCTATTGAGTCTAATAATTATTTCAATAGTATAGATGACTAGGTTATCATGGTATTGTTTCAAAAGAAGCCTTTTTGGGAAGGGATCCGATTAGTTGTTGGGCCCATACCGTATCGAACTTTAACAATCCAAACCGTCTATTTTTTAAATTGCACCTCATAAATCATCTTTAAATATTAGTCAAATCGAAAATATTTGAGGCGTTTAATTGAGCTCAAAGAAATTTACAAACATTTTGTTATCAAAGAAACATTGAAATATCATCGTAATTAATTAAGTTGGCAAACAGTTTTGGATAGAATTGAAATTCTGCAAAGATGATCTTTATATCGAGACTTACAAAATAGACAGTTCGGATTGTTGAAATTCAATGTAGAATGGATCCTACAACTAATCCTTATTTTTTTTTCAAAACATGGGGATCCCTTCCCTTAAAAGGAATGTTGTTTCAAAATATGAAAACTCGTCGATGACAAATATGATTATTTTGGATGCATATGATGATATTTTGATTAGTAATTTTATCAATACTACCTTTTTTTCTTTTACTTTGTGAGGTTCTCCTCACAAGAAATCTTGCTACACTTGATAAAATATTGGTGTAGCGTTGGTTCGATGACACGTTTATTATTAGTCTCTCATATTACATCAAAAGCATAATCTAAAACTGTTAGTGGAGAATTAAAGAGAAAAAACCCAGAAATTATGAAAGAAAAAATGCATCTTCTTTGATGTATTTTTGTAGTGTTGCACGTGAGGATCAAGAATGTCCTCAGACTGAGGAGTGAGGAGGGGCACTAACGGAAAATCAATCACCGAAGAACTGCAATCCAAGGTTTCTTTCTGTTAGCGGGGTCGGAAAGGTTAGGCCTTTGAGTCGGTGAAGCTTCTGGCCGTAGCACGAGGAAGAAGACGACCGCACTCAGCCGTCAATGGAGGAGCTGAAGAAGGTATTATTTACACTAACCAAATTTTAAAAAATTTGACAAAGTAATTCTCATTTTATTATTTACACTAAGAAGATATTATCTACACTAAGAAAAGGGGTTAGGCTAAGCTTCACAATGAGATAACAATAATGTGGTTCAAATTTTTTTTTGACGAGAATCGAATTTAAGACCTCTTACTTACAAGTACAGAGAAATATCATTAGACCGTAGTACTAAGTGGCTAATGGCTAATTTCAGTCTCATACTTAAAGTTAGATTTTTTTCCCAAATTCGTACCTATGTTAAGTTGACCGTTAATAAACTATGTTAAAGCGTGACGTCGATAACTATGTGTCAGTCAATTATGGCATTTTAAATATAAATTTTAAAATAAATAAAAAATTTGTGTCCCACCACTTCAAGAAACATGAGTGAGGCTTCCACGACTTATGAGGTTGTTACAGTATAGAGTTATCTCTATAATTACAAAATAATTCAAAATATATATACCCAAGACTTAATTCAAAATATATTACAAATTACAACTTATCTATGACACGAGAAAGCCAGGCATTTGGCTCTAAATACAAGGAAATTTGGAAAAATAACCAAAATTCAGAACCCATATAAAATTATAACCACCCTTTTAAGTTTATGATAATTGTAACCAAAGTTTGATATAAAAGTACTAAAATACCTTTAATGACTAAAAACTTGCACATTTGCTAAACTGGGTTATTTTTCCAAATGTTTTAATACCACAGCTTGCTATATCTTCTTCTAAATCGGAATGTTTGGAAGCTTGAATTTTGATTATGATTTTAATTTTGATTTTCTAGAAAAAAGGAAGAGCTATCGCTTCGATTACGAATTCTTTGAACAATTTTGATTTGAATTCCAGATAACCCAAGTCCCTGAATTACATATTTATCTCACATATGTACACACATATTTATACATAATTTTTGTACTTGATTGATGGATCCATGGCAGGAGGTAGGTACACAGCCGACGGTGGTGGTGTGTTGGATAAAATCAATGGAGTTCATTTGTTCCCAAAGTGGCCGCCAACGACCATAACCGTCACATCCTGACTCGGGCTCCACCACATCCCAAGCACGATTCCGTCGTAGCACGATATTATCCGTTTTGTGCCCCAACCACACCCTCACAATTTTATTTCTGGGAACTCACATGAGAACCTCCTAGTGGATCACAATTTTGTTTCTGGGAACTCACATGAGAACCTCGTAGTGGATCACCCATCCTATGATTGCTTTCGTATAAACTCACTTAACTTTGGAGTTCCGATGAACTTCGAAACCAGTGAGCTCCCAAAAAGCCTTGTGCTATATGGAGGTGGACATGTACATATAAGGCATAGATGATCTACTCCCCTGGGCGATGTGAGATCTAACAATCCACCCTCCTTAGGGGCCGGACGTCCTCGTCGGCACATTTCCGGCCAATATCAATCCATTTTAGTCGATTTATTCACAACGACTTTCTTTCTTTTACTTCGTATCTTTGTCCGATGGAATGCATTCTTAGCCATGCTTCCATACTTCAATCATTATGAAAGGCGGAAATTATAAAATTATTTTTGTAGGATTGACTGCATGCATTCCGTCCTCGTCAGCACACTTCCGGCCAGGGATTAACTTTGATACCAAATTGTCACATCCCGACCTGGGCTCCACCACATCCCGGGCACGATTTTGTCCGCTTTGGGCTCTGATCACGCCCTCACAGTTTTGTTTCTGGGAACTCACACAAGAACTTCCCAGTGCGTCACCCATCCTGGGATTGCTCTCGCGCGAACTCGCTTAACTTTGGAGTTCCGATGAACTCTGAAGCCAGTGAACTCCCAAAATGCCTCGTGCTATATGGAGGTGAGCATGTACATATAAGGCGTAGAAGATCCACTCCTCTTGACGATGTGGGATCTAACAATAACCACATAATGTTTGCACAGATAGTGTCAGGATAAATCTTAAGCTTGCTTTCGATACTAGAATTCACGACACCATTGATATTGATTTGGTAATGCTAATTTTGTTTTTGAATGAACATGTACAAAATGGGTGGGTGACGATAAAGGGGTATGATAGGTAAGCCACGGGCTCTCTGTAGCATAAGAAAAGGAAAGGGATGAGTGAGAGAGGGAATTAGTGTTTTAATTTAAGGATATTTTTGAAATTTCACAGGGACATATGGTTAAACTTGTAAGAAATGTAAAAGGTAGGCTAAAATTCATTTTGTAGTACAAAAAGCGGCTAGTTATCAAAATTTCCCTAAATACAGCCTCTGTTGGAGCAATATTAGAAAATATGAAAATAATAAAAGAATTTCAATGAAAGTAATCATAAAGAAAATCACAACACTAATTATGTATGAGATTAATAAAAACAACTAGTGAGAAAGTTAGAAATACTGACAAACTTAGAGATTGAGGCTTGCAT